ACCTCTACTACTACAACCAGCACAACCACCTCTACAACAACAAGCACAACAACTTCTACAACAACCAGCACAACCACTTCTACGACAACTAGTACAACTACCTCTACAACAACAAGCGCAAAAATCAGTAAGTTCACTAACGATGATTAAACATAAATTAAAGTATATCAAATAAAAGAATCAGATTTGTAACATTAAACGTAATAGGACTGCACTCAGTTCCATCATTTTCAACTACTATAGTTTGGTTTTTTTGACTTAAAGCATTCGTTGTAGAAATCCTGAAAGGGAAACTAAGTAGACTGATACATGATAAAATTGTATATTTCATTAATTTAGTATATATTTGTCTAATTTTTCGAAAATAGCATTAGCTTTGAATAGAAAAGTAGGGAATTTGCTAGTTTGTTCGGTAAAAGCTATACTAGCAAATGTCAAAAGCATTTTTCATTATTAAGATACTCATGATATTCGTAATTAGCTTTACAAATTATGTATAAAAAAAACTAATATTTTTCGGTCATTGCTGGAAAAATGCGAGCAATTTTTAGGTAAGCTTCTTTTGATTTTTGGTTACTTTTCTAATGTTAATTACAAATATCACATCTGTTTTGGATAAGAAAAAAGCTTTTTAGAATGAGAATTGGAGTAATAATATGAGTATGGACTGAGTTTTATCTGTATAAGCTTTCTCCCATTTTTGCCTTTTAACCAATGATTTCTCAACCTCTATTACACTAATATTTGTTTCATATCATAAAGATGCCTCCACGATTCTCTATACATTTGATAATACTACTTCCAATGATTATTACAATAACTACAATGCCGTTTCATACAATTCTCCTCAATACATTTCGCCTGGATACAATGGACGTGGTTATGCTATTCAACTCGTTTCAGCTCAATCACAGTATCTAACAATTGCTAATCATATGGACTTTTATAATAGAAGTTTCACTGTAGAAGCATGGATTTATCCTTTAAGTATTTCTACTGGGGATCCGTATGTTGATATGATGATCTATGCTCAAACAGGCGGTTCTCAAATGTATCAAATTATGTGGGTGATGTTAAGAAATGGAATAGGTCATGGTGCTTTCTACGGTGATGATGTACAAGGATCAACAATATTCCAAGCGAAACAATGGCAACATATAGCATTTACATATAATTACACGATGACAACACAAGTTATATATATTAATGGTGTTGCAGGTAAACGACTAGAGATTATTTTTGTTTTATATAACATTACAACAATGCATTCTTTCTTTTTTAGATGCTATAAATTCTCAAGCACCACCTTGTTTAAGCACAGGTGGGATACAGACAATTGGTGTATACTCGACTTATGACGGTGGTTTTTATAATGGATATATTGATCAACTGAAGATTTCATTCGATAGAGCAAAATCAGCAGTTGAAATCTTAAATGATGCAACATTAGTTGCATATTACTCAATGGATGATCCGAATAACCCTGGTGGGGATAGTGGTCCTAATCAAATCACAGGCGTCGCCGTTGAACCGATTGGTAGTGATCAAGGACGAGTTGGACAGTCACTTTTATTATATACAAACTCAAGTTATATTCAGATAACAGGCCTAGTTTTATTGGGACAATCATACAGTCCTTTTTCACTTGCAGTATGGATACGACCACTAATATCCGTTACAAATGGTGGTACAATTCTACACGTTTCTGAATATTCCAATGGTCAGGGTTGGTGCGTTCCATTTATTGGTTTAAGTCACTCGGGAGAGATAGTCGTACAAAATTATGGTAGTCCTGGTGGTGTAAATGCAATTACTGGGCCTGTTTTGATGGTTGGTCAGTGGGTCCATATTGTAGAAACTTATAGCAACCTTAATGGATTACGTTTATACATAAATGGTACTCTCTCCGGACAAGTTAATCCATTTACCTATGCAGCACATAATGGACCGGTGTTCGTTACTCTAGGACAGTCTCTGGTTGGAGCTATTTCTTGTTCTAACAATAAAGTTTACATGAATTATTATCAAGGAGATATTGATGAATTATATATTTACAGTAGAGAACTATCGCAAGCAGATATTACTGCATTAGCAAATCCGTAGCATGAAACTTATCTTCAAAAATTAATATACAGCAAGCAAGGGGGAAAGCAGACTTTAGTAATGCGTACTTCACTTATATTGCACTTGTACTTCACTAATACTGCACCTGCGTTTCAATTATACTTTACTTATACTGCACTCGTATTTCACTCGTACTTCATTTATACTGCACCTGTACTTCACGGTACTTCTAAAACATTTTGAAGTAAATAAAGCTGCACTTTTTTTCCTCCTTTACCACAAATAACATTGCTTTATTCATAAAGAACGTTAAATATTGTTTATTTTTGAAAACATAAATAAATAAATAAAACGATATCGCATAAAGTCAACTGAACAAAAGGCAAAGAATACGAGTACTGCTGATGATAAAGAGATAAAATTCTTTAATTGATTACAATTAGATCAGTATTGTTTGATTTTTTTTCTTTAATTTATCACCAATAAAAAATATATTTAACAATTAGCAACAGGTTCCATAAAGCAAATGTAAAAACTTGTTTTAAACAATATAAAGTCGATACTTGTGCGTATATAATTGAACTAACTGATAAATAAGATTGCAATTGATAATAATCTGATGAATAACCATGTAGTCTTTGACGTATGTATGAACAAAACCAATTATTTTAAACGTATTACTAACAAAACTTATACTTATTTGTTAAAAACGACGAAGAAAAAATTACTAAACATCTTGTTGGAAGCTCACTTTTGCACGTAGAGAAAATTAGGAGAAGCAATACTCATAATTGCTTCTTGTCATATTGTATGTAATTCTTTATATATATCGGTATAGCAGATGGAACAGATTGACGAAACTTCATTTGATCCTTTAATGGATAAATTATAAATAATGATTTCGAAAAAGCGACTCTTTCATCGTCTTAATTATTGACAATACCAAAGTGTATTCGACATGATAATTAAATATAGAAAATATTCAATCTTCTTAGAGTATCTTCGTCAAAAATTATAACTTATTAGTTTGAGAAGTCAAATGAAAGTTGTAGAATAGATCTATGTTTGTATGAGTATGATGTGGAGTTCTTGCTGCGAAATACTCATATAAATAGATTAAACCTAATATCTTTGTCGTAGTTTCAATCAGATAATGAATCAAATATCGAACTACAACATAAAATATAATACACAATAGAAAACACGTGCTCAATACGTTCTTTAACTTTATAGGACAGTTTATTATTCTTTCATTATATTGCCTTCATCTTTTCGTGTATTTACACTTCAAAAACATAACAATATACTTTTCTTCTTCTATAATATATTGAAAGCAAAGCTATTTATTATTATCAGTTCATTTTATATTAAATAATAACAATATTTTTTAAAAGCCTATGCATAGTCTGTGATACAATTTAAACTATTAAAAAATTGCGATGGTTTGTGTAAGTATAATTAATAATCGATAATGTTATATAATGAGTATAATTAAATAGAGAATAAAACGAGAGTTTAATTTTGTGAAATAAATATTGCATGCTTTTATTTTACAGTAAAAAAGCATATTTCATCACTGATTTCAAATGAACGTATTTTATTGCCCATATTTGTGACCTTTTTTGGTGAAGCACCTTGAATATCATCAACTAATGTTTTAATAAGTTCGATTGCTGTTCCAGCTCGAAGATAACCACCACCTGCTACGTCTATATAACTAGTAAGTAAATCTTCTATAACATAAATACCACCCGATTGAACTTTTGGTAGTAGATGATTAAACGAAGTAATTTGTTGATTCATTGTATGACCACCATCATCAATAATAACATCAAATTTACCTTTTGTTGATGTTATATTATTTAAAACTGCTACATCATCTTGACTGCCATAGAACATTGTGATATTCAACTATAATAGAAAAATAGACGGTACGATCGTAGACCAAAGTTTAGATAAAATGATATTCATTCTTGAGATATTAAAAAAAACTTACCTTCGGGTTGTGAGCTTTATGCCAAGCTTCACCACAGGCACGATTGAATTCAAGAAAATAAATATTTGCTTGTGGTCCGAGATATTGACGCCATACATGTGCTGATGCTCCAGCTCCATAATCCATTCCACATCCAAGTCCAATTTCGAGTATATGTAAATTAGATCCTACATATTTTCTTATATATTTCTCATAAAGTACTTCATAATGATGAGTAGTAACTTTGTCTGTTCTATATTGTTGACTTACGCGTAAAAATGAATGTTCGTCTGAAATTTGATCTTTACGATAATTTACACCGTCTGAAGTTATATCAGGAGTTTGACAAAGATTTTGAAATATTTGAGTACTATAATATGAATCTTTAACATATAATAACAGTCCAATCAATGCTAGGGTGCATATTGCAATAATAATTAAGCGATTGTTCATTGTATTGAATTAACAATATTTAATTCTTCATCTAACTTAAATAAAAAATAAAAATAACTACAATAAAGTTTTTATAATCATAGTATTCTGTCTTTTAAAAAAAAACAACCTAATTAAATTATTATTGTTATTCTCAACAAATCAATTTGCTAACAAATTTTCTAGATAACACGTCTACTGATTGTTTTCTTGATAATCAAATAAATATTTATGAATCTTATTTAATACTGATCTGTAAAGAAAATATTGATAGCATTTTTAACCTTTACTATTGAGAAATCTACTGATTAAAATTAACTCAATAATAGTTTTACTTTGTTAATTGCGCATATATGCGAAAAAACATAATTAACACTTACAAATTCATTTAATATGATCTCATTTATAGTACACGCACATACTAGTGTAATTATAGTTGTTCTTGATTTAATACGAAACAGTGAATACGTAGTTTACCGCCTCTTTTTAATTAAAAAAAGGAGCAAGACAAAGATTTTTCTTTTACCAAACAATTTGATAACTGGAAGAAGTGTGATAAACAGGGTTGCTAAATCCAAATTTTAGAAATCAGGAAGTTTTCGTTAAAACACAGGAGTTAATCAAGAGAGTTTTTTCTTTAACCAAGAAGGAAAATACAGCAGTGTCACGCATTTTTTATTCTCAAATGTTTACAGTTTTGGTTCTTAACAAGCGAGTTAATGAAACGATCTATCTTACTGAGCAAAACAAACAAACACAGGAAGATAATTACACATCGTTTAGTTTACTAATTACTTTTAAGCTATACATTGAAAAATACAAATAAAACTGATATAAGCATGTCTTAAGAAACTTCCGAAGAATCGAAACAGAACAGAGTAAAGCACCTACATCCTTTTTTGATATTATTGCTATACGTTTGTATTTTTTTTCAAAGTGAATTTGTTTGTTTAACAATTCTATACTATTTCACAGATTTACTTATTTTAATTTTGAGCTCGACATCCATTAAGCTTATTTTTTTTATTCTATTTTTATTATCATATCGTCAAAATTTTGTGTAACTGATGATTAGTTCTTTAAACTCATTATTTATCGACCCATGGTAGCACTAAAATCGGATGGAATCTAACAAGATCGACCGGCCGCCTGTAGAGATAGAAATTTTACGAATTGAGATTTTTTTATAGCCTCTTCTTTATCGATCATATTTCTGGCGATAAAAAACCTAATATAGCGTACACACTACTGGTAGAGTTGATAAAATAAGGCACAAGACACAGCTTACCTAATTATTTATTGTAATGGTCAGTTAAAAGTATGGTTTTTGTTGCATGTGTCATATATGCTCTCTGAAAGTATACCCTCGCACAAAACTCTTTCCTTTATTTGTTTCTATTTTTATCATACCTTGTATAAAATTTATTGTCGAATGAAATATAACTTCAGAGTTTTATTACATTGTGATCGTTTTATTATACTGAAATAACACGCTTAAGTCATATCTCTACTAGGCAATAAATTATATACAAAGTATGACAGCATAGTGATAAAAATGGTGGACAGATTTATTTTGTTCGTAGATGTATCTCATATTTGGATTCACATTTCTAGAAAGTTTTTGTTAAAACCTAGGTAACAAATGAAATAAAAATTAGGAGAAAATCTTTAAAATCAGTTCCTAATTTCAGAAGAAATATCGTCAGGAGAAATGTTTAAAAATCAGGAGGCTTGGCAACCCTGGTGATAAATATTAAACGCTCTTCAATGAAAAACCTATTTGTAAACTGATTGATTTATTTTTTAACTTAAGTTTTTTTCCATAGATGCGCAATTGTAATCCGTAATTTTTTCTCTGAATGTAAAGCTATGACATAACTAAATATTTATTAATGAATTCATTATATCTATCTGGGTGTACATAACCACTTTCTTTTTAAAACATTTATCGTACTCTCACAATATTAATTATTCACCGGTATGTGCTATTTCACAATTTGATATTCTTTAATAAATAATTATCAGTAACTCAGTGTAAAATCAGATCTTTATTTTCTTATGATTTCTTCAATCGATTTTTATTAGATTTAATTAAACCTGATACTACTCGACTCAGTGGTGGGCTTAGGGGGGAGGGCAATCACCCCCTTCCGAAATTTTTTTTGATTTTTTACAGCAAAAAAAAACGAAAAAATAGATTCACACTATTTCGATTGGACTCAAAAAATAGCTTTTAGTCAAAATCGTCCCCCTCTCCTCAGTTATCGCCCCTCCATACTCAAAAAAAAATCACCCTCCCCCCTTTCAAAATCCTAGACCCACTACTGACTCGACTCTTGGGATTGATAATTTCCTTACTGTATATTTTTAACAATATTCAGCCGATCTTCGATTGCATATACAAAACTTATAGAATTTCCATCTTCTACTTTCAAGTTAACTTACTTTTGCTTTTTAACTAATGTAAAGTGTGTAGTTTAAAAAAATTGTTAAGTTGAATTAAAAAAAAGAAACAAATGATGAGTTTTCCTATAGAAAGAAAAAAACTTTAAATTAGAAAATAATTAGGTGATGATTGGACAAAACTTTCACTATCAAGCAACAACTCCATGGAAATCGACATCATTTTTATTTTTTTTCTCTCTCCAATATACAATGTAAACGACGATTGACGTTCTCATCGACTTCCATTATAAATTAAACAAAAAAAAGAATATAGAAGTAGAATTTATGATATACACCTTCTTCTCTCGACTCTTTTCTTTTAAACAAAGCAAACGGAACTAATACGTGTTACTCAGTGAAAGAACAAGAAACATGTAAGTTTAATTTTTTTTTTTTACTATAAAGAATTTTTCCATTCCTCATTCTAAAGACATCCGTTACAATGCAGAAGATGGAGATTGACGTAAAATAAAAACAATTAGTATAATTGTTAGAAAAAATATAAAGAAAAATGATTGAATTGTTTTATCATTATTATATACTACCTCTACTATCAAAAAAGAAAGACATCCATTAATTGACTGCTATAATAAAATCCTTTCGTTTACGTATCAGTTCAATTTATTTATTTAATTTTTTGTATTACAATATAAAAAAAAAACTTTACTAATTATTTTTTCGTGTTTATTTTAATAAATATTTTATTACTGAATACTACATTTATTTTGTTGAATATATTGATAATGTTCAGGACAATGTGGATATCTTCCACCATGAGCACTTGGTAATTCCATTACATGTGTTAAACATAATAAACGATTACAAGGTCTTCCAGAAGTCATTCCATACCAACATTTAGCAGCAGCAACACTACCACAAATAGAACATACATTTCCATCAGGTGCCATATGATTTACTTGCATATGTGGAGTATTTTGTACTGGAACATTTTGATTGGATGGTATTAATGTATATTGAATAGGTTGACCATTGATATCTAATAATGAAATTTGTCTTGGATGAGCAGCTGGATTATATGGAATTGTTAGAAAAGAAGATTGAGGTGCGGGTATTTGTGGAGTAATAACTGGTTTAACATCACTTACGAATGAATTCGAATCGGTCATTTATTAAATTAAATTTCGGAATATAATATCATTAATAAAAATTCTAACTGTATTTATATACTAATTTCTAATCTTTTTTTTTTTCTATTCTCTTGAATTCTTTTCTTTATCTTCTACGTGTCACCTACAACACAAAAAAAGACCTATTTTTTTTTAAAGGTATGTTATTGTTGTGACGTGTATAGGAGCAATTAAATAAATATGATAACCTATGTAAATATAACTGAATCACGATTGCATCGTAAAATGATAAGTTGAGCAATAACAAAGAAAATGGATTAATAAAAATTAGGTACATTTTTGTTATGGAAATTTTAAACATTTATTTTTCTTTGAAATTTCAATTATACAATTTTTAAAATAATAAAATATAATTAAAACAATACAAATATATGTTATATATCTTTTCTTTTCTTCAGTATTCTAATGAATGGTCCATCGTCTATTAACGTTCATATTTTTCGCATGACCTGATATGTACTCACATAAAAGAATGATGAACAATATAGATAATATATCAATAAAAAAAAAAGAATAACGAGTAGACGAATATAAAACAATCATTTCTTTCTCACATGATGTCATATACTTGTATACTATATAAATAGAGACCATTGTATTCAATACAATTTCTTTGGAATATATATCATTTCTTTTTTAGACTTCGAAGAATAAATCCATCGATTACATTATGTCATTTGAACAACGTATAGAAAAAGAAAGTGAAAGATTTCAAGCACTATTTAATCATTTATCTGATACACAATGGAGTGAAGCTGCAATGCCTGAAGCACAATCACGTTTAACAACATGTCAACGTCAAACTCGTCTTACACAAGTTAAAATTGATACATTTAAAGCAATAGCTGATAAAGAACATAAACGTTTTCTTAATATTAAGAAGCATAATATAAAACATGCTTGGCATAAATTTCGTGGTACCTTAGAACAATCTTTAGATGAACAAGAAAAAATTTGGTTACGAGAATTAAAAAAATATCAAGAAGAAGAACAACATTTAATTGTTTTAAAAGAAGAAATGACTTCGGCTGAGAAACATATGCAACAATGTCAAGATACTTATAATGATTATACAACAACTAAACGAGAATTGAATGAATTACTGGATGATTTATTTTCTGATGTTACATCTTCATATTCGAATGAAGATATTCTGAAACATAATCTTGAAATAAAAAAAGAATGTTTAATTAATCTACAGAATAATGAACGTATTTTAAAACATGTTTTTCATTTATTAAAAAAAACTTCTCGAGCTCTTACGATTTCTCATCGTGCATTGAATCATGCTTTAAATATGAAAACATGTCATTTATTTTCTTATTGCTGTTTTGCTAATATGGCGATAAATTCGTATTTTACAAAAGCTCGAGATCAATCGATTCAAGCACAACAATTATTAACCGAAGCTAAACGTATATATTCAAATTTATTATCGATTGATAATAGACATATGACATATGATAATTCACTTTTTAATACAATGTTTGATAATATTTGTCTTGATACAAATATAAGAAAAATGACGGAAGAATCATCAAATCGTCTTACTTGTGCAGATACAGTTTTGGTTAGTATTTTATTACAAATCAAAGAACAAGTGGGAAAATGTGAAGGTGATCGAGATCGAACGAATAAAGATATAAAACGATTAGCAGCTGAATATTTCACTGCAAGAATTGATATTATACGAAATATTATAGAATCATTAAATACAAATTCATCAACATGATATAATGAAGTAGTTATGGTTACTGTATTATATTTCTTTTAGTTTTATTCTGTTATTATATGCATTTACATTTTGTATTAATTTAAAAAATCTTACTTTTCTTACTCAACAATACACAAACTTTCATTTTATAACTGTAATACTCAAACTCTATGCACACAAAATAATGATTATTCCAATTAAAACCAGATATATTATATGAAAAACTAGTTATGATAATTAATATGCAGAATATTATTTTCGGATGAATATTGTATAAGTATCATATACTTTATTATATTTATCGTATGAATTGAATCAAACGTCGAAGAATTTTTTTATTTATTAATATTCATTTTTCATTTACTCCGTCGTTGAAAAATAATAGAGAGTGTTATTCAAATTTCTATAAATGTTAGATAACTTATTGCTTGTTGTAGATATTTTTTAAATGTTCTTTCTTCGTCATCAAATAAATGCTTTTATAATACTACTAGAAAGTAATTGGAAGTGAAAATGTAGCATATAACTCTCACTGTTGTCATAATTCATGTAGGTGTATAGGTGAGATGTTACCTTCGTTACAATCAGTAATCTATTTTATTGTTAAAAAAAACATGACATGATTTATTTTTGTAATCTTATCAAAATAAGAATGAAACATTAACAACTTCATTTTTTTTTATTTTTTTTCTCTCACAGTATAATGTACATACAGTATCAAGAATTATATTTTAATCAAGAATTTTATTAATCAAAGATTTCTTTGTCACTATCTGAACTGGATACTATTTTTCTGTTATAAGTTAAAATCTAATGAAACAACTATATGCCCATGATTTAGATGATATACTTTTCCTAACTGACAACAAAGGTCATGAACAGACGAATATCTATTATTCTATAAATAAATGGTTTCATTTTTATACCATAAAAATATTTCACAATTAAAATTACGATCGAATAGAGAATAATCGTACCGATTTTTTTTGTTTTTTTAACGGTTTTTAAACGAACAAGAATTGATGAAAAAAATAAAAAAGAATACAGGGTAAGAATGACAATAATTCATAAAATATTTTAAATAAAAAAAAGACGGTTTTTATCGAGTTCGTGCTGAATTAGTTTTTCATAGAGTAATCAACTGTTTCATTGACAATTTGGATAGAAACATGGTCTAGTACCAGTCATTGTAGAGTTTTGTCCGCAAGTATTACATACACCATGGTTTGCATCAAGACAAACACGGTGTCTGCTATATACTCCTGTACCGCATGTGACACTGCATGAACCATTATCCCATGCTGACCATGTACATCCTAGAAAGATAGGATTAATATATTAGAAAATGTGTGATTGAAAAAAAGGCACTATTAAATATTTTATTATTTAATTGAACAAAAGGATACATAACGAATATCTCAGACTTAGATTTAACCTAGCCACCTTTCACTCTACCAGAATGAGAACATCTCTATATAACTAAAAGTGTCAAATAAATTTCAAGCAAACTCATTGTTCTTATTTCGTTAATTTAAATTGTTAATTGCATCAGTTGAGATTATTCACCTGGAGTAACAGTAGCCATTGATGTTGCGGATGTGGGAGAAGTTAATAAACCACCCGAAGTCACAGCTGGTGGCATTGAAGATGCTACTGGAGACATTATCGTATCTAATTTTAGTGACGATGGTCCTGCCGATGCTTTTGAACCGGATACAGATGACGTTGCTATTGGCATTGAGGTTTGTCCTGCAGATGCTCTTGAACCTAATGCTAATGACGTTGCTTTTGGCATTGAGGTTTGTCCTGCCGATGCTCTTGAACCGGATACTGATGATGTTGCTGATGGTATTGACGATGGTCCTGCAGATGCTCTCGAACCTGATATTAATGTAGTTGCTGGAGGCATTGAAGATGGGCCTGCAGACGCTCTTGAACCCGATACCGATGACGTTTCTGATGGCATTGAGAATGGTCTTCCAGATGCTCTTGAACCTGATACTGATGACGTTGCTGGTAGCATTGACGATGGTCCTGCAGATGCTCTCGAACCTGACACTGACGTTGTTGCTGGTCGCATTGAAGATGGTCCTGTAGGTGCTCTTGAACCCGATACTGATGGCGTTGCTGATAGTATTGAGGTTGGGCCTGCCGATGCTCTTGGACTTGGTACTGATGGTGTTGCTGGTGGCATTGAGGATGGTCCTGCAGATGCTCTCATACCTGATACTGATGATGTTACTGATGCTGATGTTCGTGAACCGAATGTTGACGACATTAGTCGTGTCAGCATCGTTGAATATAATATTGGTGTTCTTGGTCGTTCAGATGTTTGTGAACCTAATTCTGGTGCTGTTGGTAATGCTGGCGTTGTGTTGGAAGACCCTGTATCCATTGCTATATATACAATAAATCAATATCTATATCTTATCCTATTAAAATCATTTATTTCTACAAAAACTTACATTGATCATCAGTACACGAGTGATTTAGTGCAAACGGCATGCAAATTGAAGTTGGACAACAGCTATTAACAATGCATACACTAAGATTTGATGAACAACGATTGTCATCACCCATACAAGGCTCAAACATTGAACAATCAATACGAGGTGCACAAAATGATTGATCTGAGTTTGTCAAAAATCTATAGCATACAGAATCAGGAGAACAGTCTCTGTTTCTTGAATTTTGATTGTTAGGAGTACATAGTGGAACCGAACAAGACGATGAGTATCTTTTTTTTGGAACTATAATTATAAATTTCAAGAGAGTCAGGGTTATAATTGATGCAACTTACCTCCTTTTAATCCATCAATATGTATCATGACGATAACGATTAGAAATAAATATCGAATCATTGTCAGTATATGTAGCAATTACTTTGAAGGTCTGAATAAGGATAAAAGAAAATTATTAATTAGAATCCATGCAGAGATATTTATATATTAAAAACATAAACTCATCTCTTTATAGTCATTTGAGAGATCTGAGATACTTTCATTGTTCTTACTTTTCTATACCTAAAGAAGAAAAAAATGGTAAAAAATGGTGGCTTGCTCGTAAAAAAAAATTACATTTTTCATGATGGAACGGACATTATTTTAGGTGTATTTCATTTTCACTAATTAAAATGCAAATTTTCTTCATTTTTTTGATTCTCGAGGTGTAGAAGAAATACAGAACAGAAGAGAGACAATGATGTATATTCAAAATTTAATTAAAATAAAATACAATCAGGTATATTTTAAATAATCAGATTGTTATCAAATCCGCTGGGCAGAAAAAAGGACAATTGACTAAACTAGAAGAATGGTTAAAGTTTTATGGGAATAGACTATGCTCTTGTAAGGCCTATCAATAATTATCTTGAAATGAGATATCTAAAAGGTGACAAAACAAAAACTGTGCTACGAAAATTTTGTCGATTAAAATGGAAAAGTTTAGTATTTATATAATCAGAAAGGTAACCTTTTAACCGATTCATTTCGATTAAGATATCCGAATAAAAAAAATTCTGACGCGAAAACAACTGTAGAATCGATTTTTTTCTCATTTGAAATGAAGAGAATTGTCAATAAATATGTTACTTCGAAGCGTAAAATACAATAATGTATTGCACTTGTGTTGCTACATTATTTACGCAACCTAATGGCGTATTTTTCATTGCTTGCGAAAGAAACGTAAAATTTCAACAGAAAAAGTACAAAAAATAGTAGATGTACTATCGAAGTTAAATAATTACTTTTCTCCGTCGACTTTTTTCTTATTTTCAAGTGTAAAAGAGCGTTTATTTATTTGAATCAACATTACAGTACAGTTCAAGTTTTTTTTATAATGGCACCCAATTTGTAAAGAATTAATTAAAATCGATACTTATAATAATGTCTGGTTTTTATCATCATGACCTTATACCTGTATAAAACTTATTCTATATTTCAGTAGTAAAAGAGGAACAAACATGGCCGACGCAAAGCGGCTCGGTTATTGAGGTAGACTTTGTTTTTTTGTTCGAATTAAGTATGACTAAGATAGATTTATAACTAATGCATTCACTCTGGAAAATTGTATCGGAGACAAGGATACGCTTTTTTAATTTTATAAATATTCAGGAAGATTAATCTTAATTCAATTGAATACAACTCGACCTTTTTGATAATTACATTTCCATATATGATCGAGCAAGAATGAATGATGATGAAATATGAAAAATTTTGACTTTAAAATAGTTTTATTTAGAAAAAAAAACATAGTTTACATGAATCTTGGAAATTCACAAAGGAATTTTAACTATTATCTTCAAAAAATAAACATATTGTCCACAAACTAAAATAGATTTAATTCCATCCATAACCCATGTAAAACAAATTTCCTTTGATAATCACAAAAAATCTGATTTTGAATCGGTTTTAATCATTTATTTACATAGCAATAATCACCGAAAAATCATGACATAATCGATTATTTTTTATATTTTCGATTATAATCAAAAGTAGTGAGTGCCCGGTGATTACTTATGAGTAAATCAGTGATCAAAATCGTATGATTATAATCGATTGTAAATCAGATTTTTGATTATTTTTTTTTATATGGGAAATAGTCAATGAATCTAAAACTAATGTACACATATATGAATAGTTATTAACAGTAAGATTAATTAATAATTGACGATCTATTGATCATTATGTTTATCAGTTGGAAATTCATGAAATCAATGGTTCAAAAACGATTGAGTCTTGTGTATTTACTTTATAAAAAAATATAACGAACTCGAAGTGTTGAAATTATATATACGATCATACATTATTGTACCCCGTTTTCTTAGTTTTATTCTGTTATTATATGCATTTAAGTTTTGTATTAACTCAAATATCTTACTTCAAACTCTATGCACAAAAAATAATGATTATTCCAATAAAAATTATACATATTATATGAATAGAATATATATTTATCATAAAAAAAAACTAGTTATAATAACTAATATTAAGAATATTATTTCTAGATAAATATCGTGTAAGTATTATATATTTTATTAATATTTATCTTTCAGTGTTATTTGATTTAGTTAATAAATCTATTTGTATAACTATTTGATGACTCATTTGTTGTTGTAGATATTTTTTAAATACTCCTTCTTCGTCATCAAATAAACGCGTTTGAAATGCTTCTAGTCAGTAAACGAAAATGAACACGTAGCATATAACTCTGACTGTTGTCATAAGTCATATAGGTGAAGAGATGAAAATATTGTGTTTGTTCCAATTTTTTGAATGTTTAAAAAGAAAAAGATAAGGTGTTACCTCCGTTACGATCGGTAAACTATTTTATTGTTAAAAAAAACATGTTATGATTTATTTGTCTAATTTTATCAAAATAAGAATGAAAAATTAACAATTTCATTTTTTTTCTTTCTTTCCTGTCGAGGTATAATGTACAATATGAAGAACTATATTTTAATGAAAAATTTTATTGATCAAAAATTTGTTTGTTACCGCTTGAACTGAGTACCATTTCTCTGTTATAAGTTTAAATCTAATGAAACAACTATATGCTTATGATTTTTTTTTTAATTTATATAATTTTCTTTTTCTGGTTAACAACAAAAGTCATGCACAAACGAATCTTTATCATTCTATAAATAAATAGTTTCACAATTAAAATTACAATCATATAGAAAATAATCGAATCAATTTTTTTAAACGAACAAGAACTGATGAAAAAAATACAATAGAATAAAATATAAGAATGACAATAACAATAACTCATAAAAAAATTTCAACAAAAAAAAGACGATTTTTATCGAGTCTGTGTTGAATTGTGTTATTTAACAGTCTGGAAAGAAACATGGTCTTGTACCGTTAATTGTAGAGTTCTGTGCACAAGTATTACAAGCACCATTGTTTGCATTCAGGCAAACACGTTGTCTGGTATATACACCTGTACCGCATGTGACACTGCATTGACCATTAGCCCAGGTTGACCATGTACATCCTAGAAAGATAAGATAAATATATTAGAAAATACGTGATTGGAAAAAAGGCACTATTAAATATTTTATTATTTAATTGAACAAAGAAATACATAATGAATATCTCAGACTTAGATTTAACCTAGCCACCTTTCACTCTAACAGAATGAGAACATCTCTATATAACTAAGAGTGTTAAATAAATTTCAAACAAACTCAATTTTCTTATTTCTCTGAATTAAATTCTAAATAGCCATAGTGGCGTAGTAGATCTCAGAGAAGTTGATAAACTACGTGAAGTCACAGCTGGTGATATGGAAGATGGTCCTATCGATGTTTTCGAACCTGATACTGGTGTTGTTACTGGTTCTTGTGTTGTTGAACCGAATGTTGACGACATTAATCTTGTCAATATTGTTGAATATAGGCTTGATGGTTTTGGTGCTTCGGTTGTTTGTGAATCTAATCCTGGTGCTGTTGGTACTGATGACATTGCTACATATACAATAAATCAATATCTATATGTTATTCTATTAAAATCATTTATTTCCACAAAGGCTTACATTGATCATCAGTACATGAGTGATTTAGTGCAAATGGCATGCAAATTGAAGTTGGACAACAGCTATTAACAATGCATACACTAAGATTTGATGAACAACGATTGTCATCATCTATGCAAGGCTCAAACATTGAACAATCAATACGAGGTGCACAGAATGATTGATCTGAGTTTGTCAAAAATCTATAACATATAGAATCAGAAGAGCAGTTTCCGATTGTTGAATTTTGATTGTTAGAAGTGCACAGTGGAACCGAACAAAATGATGAGTATCTTTTTCTTGGAACTATAATTATGAATTAGAAAAGAGTCATAATTATAATTGATGCAACTTACCTCCTTTTAATCCATCAATATGTATTATGACGATAACGATTAGAAATAAATATCGAATCATTGTCAGTATATGCAGTAATTACTTCAAGATCTAAATAAGGATCAAAGAAAATGATTAATTAGAATCCATACAGAGATATTTATGTATTAAAAATATACTAGTATTTATAAAGAATTATTTCAAGAATATTGTGTTGTCTAAACTGACAATTAAGTTAGAAGAGAGTTTTTCTCTATAAGCTCAAATTATGCTCACATGCAGATGCCATTCGATAAAATACAGTTCAAACAATCAAAGATATAAATATATCTCTTTATAGTCGTTTGACAGACCTAAGACACTTTCATTGTTCTGACTTTTTCTATACCCAGGGAAGAAAAAATGATTACTTTATTGTAAAAAAAAGAAAAAAAAAATAACGCGTCTGATGGCGGAACGGACATTGTTTTTGATGTTTTTCTATTTTTACTAATTAAAATGTAAATTTTTTTTATTTTTTTTATTCCCTGGGCAAAGTAGAAATACAGAACAGAAGAGAGACAATGATGTATATTCAAACTTCAATTAAAGTAAAATATAAACACTTATATTTGAAGTAACTAGATTTTTTTATAAAACTCAATAATTATGAATTTCTGCAGAGCAGAAAAAAAGGACAATCGACTAATGAGGAGTACTAGTAAGTTCAACAAAGAACTGAATTGATCATAATCGAATTAAATAATCGATTCATTTCGATTAAAACTTTCGAATGATAAATCTCTAAGCCAAAAAGAATTGCAGAGACCATCTCGCTTCTCATTTGAAATGAAATGAGTCGTCAACAAATATATTGTTCTTAAGAGTAAAATACAATCATATATTGTACTTTTGTTGCTACATAATTCACGCAAGCTACTGGTGTTTTTATAGTTGTTTGTAAAAGAAACGTTAAGTTTTCAAGAGTGAATGTGTAAAAAATCAGAGATGTATTATTCAAGTTAAATCATTTTTTTGTTCAACAATTATGTTTCACTTTCAAGTGGAAAAGAAATTTTGTTCATTTCAATATCAATTAAATTACAATTTAAATTTACCTTGTAATGAAATTTAGCTTATAGGGAAATTAATTAGAATTGATATTTATAATATTGAATTTTTTTTTAAAAAATCAGACAATAATATTGTGTTTTGCATCCATTCATTCTTTTTGAAGGTTACATGGAAAATATGATAAAGCAGTTATCTGTGAATTTGAAATATGAGTTAATAGCAAGTATAGTTGTTCTTAAAATTAATTCTGAAAAATTGTATCGGAGATCAAATATGCTTTATTTTTATTTTACATCTCATGACCAATTATATACTGATATTCAAAAAGATCAAACTTAATTATATATGATCGATCAAGAATGAATGATGATGTAATAATAAACGATATGCTTATAATAGTCTTCATTTTATTCGACATATCCGAACTAATGATCAATATTCAGTTAATGTTTTGTTTAGTTCAATTCTTGAAGTGCGAATAATTCTGACTTTAAAATAGTTTTATTTAGAAAAAAAAAACATAGTTCACATGAATCTTAGAAATTCAAAGGGTAATTTTACCTACTATCCTGAAAAAATGAAACTATTGTCCACAAATTAAAATAGATTAAATTCAACCGGTATTAATAATATTCAATTGTTATTATTTTTGATTTCATCCCATGTGATTATATGGCTCTTGTTCATAATCATTGATAATTGTTCGATGCGAATAAGTTGTGTATCAGATTTGTTTATTTTATGCAAATATTTGTTGTCTATAAGTATTGAAGTCGGTACTTGATTCCATCCATAAATAGTCAATGAATCTAAAACTAATGTAGACATATATGAATAGTTATTAACAGTAACATTAATTGATAATTGACGATCTTTTGATGACCATGTAAATACTGCATAATAATAATTTTGTGTATCGATTGTATTAAAAGATTCGCCATCATCATAAAAAAGATCTCCTGCTGCTTGTCCATCTACATTGAGTGCAACAATGAGTCCGAATGGTTTCATTCTAGAATATGTAATCATAATATTTTATATATAATCAAATAAATCCTTTTTTTTATTAAATACCTTGAATATTTTGTATTTGAAGCATATCCTTGTGTTGGTATAATACCTCCACCTCGTAAGAAAATTGGAATAGTTTCCAATGGTGCATTAACAGTTATAAATTCTTGTTTTGCTTGAATAAGTGAACCCGAATAATAATCATACCAATGTGATGAAGGTATATAAACTCGAACTTGTCGTAGACCATCATCAGTAACAGGAGCTATCATAATAGATGATCCAATAAGAAATTGAAGATAAATATCAAGTGTGATTTTATCTGTTGGATATTCATGAAACAATGGTCGAATAACTGTTGAACCTTGTGTATGTGCTTTGTAAAATAATGTATAATAATAAGGTAAAAGAATGTAACGAATTCGAAGTGCTGATACCATAATAGAAACAGTTGGTTTCGACCAAGAAGCTGGATCTTGATCGAATGGTTTCTTACTGCTATGCTATACAGAAGAAATCCAGATGAAAGAAAAATATTTTTATATTAAACTTACACTACGAGAAAATGGATAAAAAGCACCGAGCTGCATCCATCTAAAAGGAAGATAAGATTTATTTCATACTGAAATAATTATATTTTTCTTATTACCTAATACATAATTCTTCAGTTGGTATTTGCTCAAAACCACAAATATCAGCACCATTAAATGGAATACCAAACCAATTAAATTCAATCATTAATATTATTGATCGTTTCATTTCATTCCATGTCGCTTGATTATCTCCGAACCAATGACTGCTCCATTGACCTGAACCAACAAAAGTTGAACGTGATAAAATCAAACTTCGTTTTTCTATTGTTGATCTCAATGCATTCCATGTGGCTTTTGTTTCACTCCATCCATAAAGACTACGGAGATATATATATATATATATAAATTAGATCATAAAAAGAAAATGTTATACTTATGAACATCATAGTGTCGATATTTCGATTGATTTGTTCTTGAATTTATCTCACCTTGTAAAGCTGACATACATAACGTGTGATCAGAAAGACGAGCTGCTCGATCCATATCGTTATCGAATCGAAAAACAGCTTTTGTACGATAAGGTGGATCATCGAATTGATTCTGTGAACATTTTAGTGTATAATTACTACCCGTTTCCCCGGAATTCCATGGAACTGGATCATTTGTACTGAATAAAGCTAAATATTGATAAATAATTATTTATCATACAACTATTATAACAATTCGTTACCAGGTTCATTCATATCGATCCAAAGTCCATCAAATGTTAGATTAACTTTTCGAAAATTGTTGATCCAACGTGACCACCAAGTTTGTGTTTGATTTACAAAGAAATCTACATTAATTTCAATAATTATTGTATTAAATTAAATCTACAAGTATGTTTACCTGGATAAAATACATCACCTGGCCAACAAACTCCTTTTATTAATGTTTTTGATTGATTCCATCGAATAAAAACATCTTCTTGAATACCTTCAATAGTTGGTTGATAATATTTTTTATCATCAATCATTCCTGGATCTAGAATAATCATTGTTCTTATACCATCTTGATTCAATTGAGAAAAATATTTTTTTAATTGACCAAAATGAATTGGATCGATTGTAAAAGCTTTTCTTGAATCCATATAATCAATATCAGCGTATTGAACATCGAATGGAACATTTGCTAGACGATTTCGTTTCGTAACCATTTCCATATGTTCGACATCGGAATAACCCCATCGAGATATTTGAAAACCAAGTGACCAATATGGAGGTAAAATCGATCGTCCTATAAGCCATGTATATTGTTGAATGACTTGTTCTGGTGTTGGACCAAGAAACATAAAAAAATCTAGAATACCACCAATTGTACGTATGGTTAATGATGGTGTTGATCTTAATGAATAATCCATCGCATTTGAATTAAGTAAAAGTACTCCGTGCATATGACCTGATGGAGTTGAATTTGAATTTGGTTTTTCTTCCATGACAACATAGAATGGATGTGAACCATAATGATTTGTATTCGTTCCCCAATTTGTAGCTAGAAAATAAAATCAATTCAAAGAAAAAAAATAATTTATTAAGTATTAACCTTGATCACGTGCAAAAATGCCCCATGTTTTTTGTTCATATACATTATGTTTAAGTGTATCATGATTGTTTTCACCAAATCCATAGATATGTGGTGATTGTAATCGTGTAACTATTTGAAGAAATTGGTTATTAAGTACAAGACCACCAAGATTAGTGTCAAAAAGGATTGTATCACTTGCACGACGTTTAATAGTAAATGAAAATAAATTATTTGGTAAAAGATGCGATGTATGCTTGAATTGATATTGTGGGTTTGAAACATGATCAGACGATTGTGCCAATGGAATCGGTACCTATTTAAAAGAATAGAATCTATTCACATCAGATAATTTCTATATCATTTAAATAAATAATCTCACCTCATATCGTTGATTATCACTATCATAAAATTTGAATCGAATTATATCATTGGTATAATATTGAACATCAAGTATAACATTATCAATAGGTTCAGGAAATATACTTGCAAGCGCTTGATATCGTCTTAGTTTTATCTGTATACCATTTTGTTTTTTTTCTTCTCCTTCGAATAGATAACCGTAATTATCATTCATATAGCATTGTGTACCACTAAGATTTGCTCTTTCATCGAACCAACAATGACGTTTACGGCAAGCTTCTTTTGAATAATTTGAAAATTTCGATAGAGCATCAGGATAACAATCGACACGATAATGCGCTGATGGCGAATCACGTGCTATAACGAAGACAACGACGATGAATGTCAGAATAGTTACGACAGTGGCGAATATAATTAATGGAGGTATTACAAGACGTAGCTATTGAAAAAAAAATATTTCGAAGAAGTTAAAATAATCGATATATTATCTATTTATCATGGAATAATGTTTCCTTTCTAATTTTTTATATTTACAAAATAAATTTAGTAATGAAATTCTTACTGTAGAACCACTTTCTTCAGATTGATTTTTTGAATCTTCATCAATATTATTGTCTCTCTCAGCAGCGGATACGAGAGGAATATTTTCGTCTAACATATATAAATTATGTTTCTAATTTACCTGAAAAATATGATCAAAAATTAGTAGTTATTTATTCGCGTGTGGTGTCTATAGTGATCGATTAAGGAGTAAAGACAGCTCGTTTTCTCTCTTTCATTTGAATAGAATAAGCAGATGAGTCATTCGTATCGACATTACTATGATGTTTTACTTCTAATGCGAACGATGTTTACTACTCAAAAAAGAAAACGAAAGATAAATCATATCATTCTTGTGATGGTTGAATGCGTCGCGGGTATTTTTTACGATATGTATTTAGTATAGAAGAAGAAAAACATTAATCAGAGTTCATTAACATATACAAGAAAAAACAAATTTTCCTCACTTTCTAAACTGTACACATAATACTCTTTTTCGCTGAAGATGAAATAGTTTATGTCACTTGATCTTTCGATGATATATAACAATTTATAGTTTAAATAATTGCAAAAAAAAAGACGGATAAATTCCGAAAATAGTTTACACAATTAGATTTCCCTAAAGAAATTACTCATCAGGTGAATGTGACATTCACGTATGAATTCTTAGCAAAGTACTTACGCATCAATATATATAAAAGAAAATGACAGAATAGAATAAAAAATTTCTAATGAATTATTAATTTTATCTAATGAGCCATTTCTACGATTTGAATAATTAACGAATTTAAGATAGAAAAAGACAGAGAATGTTACATTTTCTAAAGATGTATAAGCGATTCTTAAATGAAGGATGTTCTTGTATTTAGTTTTCAAATAAGTATAAATTGTTATCAATTTAAAAATGTGTTTGTATTTTTTAATATTCGGAGATCAAATAAAAACTGATGTAGTGCTACATTATGAACTAAAAAAGAATGTCTATGGATATTTTAAGCAGACTATCGCAGTATACAGAAACTAGGTAGGAATATTCATGAAACACTTAATAGTACGAAAGGAATTATTCTTATTCTTTTAAGTTTTACAAACTGATTTAGTTAAAGGCTCCAAAATTAACATTTAGATATTAGAATAATAATAAATAGAGATATTCAATCGAATGTATGTTCTTTTAAAGGATATTTTAATGTAAAGATATGACCGTATAAATAAACAGATGAATACGGATTTACAAAATATAAAACACTATCCTATACACAAACGCACACTCTATGTGTATCAGTGTCATTCTGCATTTATTTTATAGAAAATCTTCGCATATTTTCATGTAGAAAGTTTGTACATTAATAGTAAGATTATAAATGACATCAAATATATTCTAGATCTGAAACAATGACAGTGTAGTTCACATGTGTTTTTATGTATATTAACTATAATGATATCATAGCTGTGATAACATCCAGAGGAATATTTTTATTAATATGAACAGAATGTATAAGATATTATAAATGAAAGATTTAATATATAATCTTAAAGTCATAATTGAACGGTTTCTCACTTTGTAAAATAAATGAAAGTAACTAAGAAAAAGTGGATCTGCGTACAGTTTTGGTCTACTATTTCAACGAAACTTCTGTATCAATATTCTGTACTAATCAATTTGATTTTTCTGCAGTGGTTTAAAATCAACAAAATTAAGAATAAGATAATTACTGATCGCAAAAAAATATAATAGAGAAATGATCTTATTTTCTATTCTCTTTCGTTAAAATATATGTTTATGTAAAGATAAAGTAAGTTGGATATAAGTATTTTGTTTAATTCATATCCTCCTTCTTACTACGTCGTACGACTGATATGATTATAGATTGCCTTTTAGATTATCTGCTGTTGTTATTTACAGATATATTCATCTACGTCATCCACGATTAACAGAACATTTGAAACTAGGATAATCAAAGTTATCATGTGAATTGTATCAATTTTGCTAATTATAAAAAATTAATCTACAAGAGTGGAAGAACAAAGATATTTTTTTATTTGAGATCGAATGTTAAGGTATGTGATAATTTAGTAAAAACAGCGAAGGAAATAATTCCAGGACGCCATAAGATGATAATTCTTCTAGCTAGAGTACTGTTTGGAATTTAGGCTACTTGCAAGAAAAAGAATAAGATAACTGAAAGTTAATTTTTTTTTTAAATAATTAGTATAATTCTGTACAATTTAAAGCATCATTATTATTCTGTCCATTAGTAAGTAACACTTTTCCATTTGATATTATTATATAGTCATTATTTATATGACTATTGTTTTTTGAAAAAAATGGTTCTTACAAAGTAAAAAATACTTTCGATAAAATCAACACATTTGAAATTAATTTGGTTCCTGTTAATGATTGAAGCAAGGAGAAAACAGCTGGATTCTATAGCTTCAGAATTCTAGCGAGAAAAGGTATACATCCTATCTTGTACAAGGAATCAATTCCGCGAATTAAATTAAGAGAAATCGCATAGAATTTCTGAAAATTCTAACCGATTCCTGCAATGTTCAACATTGCGGAATAGGATGACTGCTCGCAAGAAATAGATGATCTTGAAAAGCTGAATTTTATAGAATCTTGGGATCAGCTGTTTCGTTCTTGTGTAATGTACTAAAATGCATTCTTACATTTAGTTCTCATAATAGATTCGAAAGCATTATTGACTTATAATTATTAGAAATTGTTTCTAGTTTAGTTAGAAAACATTTTAATTCAAAGAAACAATATTGGAAAAAAAAGCTATTGATATGATTTATTAGTTTAGATACTTTGAACAAAATTGAACTTTTAACATAATTTATATGAAAAATAATATTTTTCAAACTATGATCATTATTTTGTTCATTAATTCACCTTTATATACAGCAAATTTGTATCTATTTCGAAAGATGTCGATTACCTACGTTAGAAAATAATATAACGTTTACCTATTCGTTCGTTCGTTTCTCGAATGATTGCTATTTTCGTGATTGCTTACCTGTCAAAATATATGTTACATCGATAACTTTGTATATATAATTATCTGAAATAGTTGCGGTACCTAAGTATATATGTTTCAATTTATATTTCGAATATTAACACGTTGACTTTCCCTAAGAGAAAAAAATAATACTTGTTCTACGCCCTTTTTTTCACATCATAGTATATTTTTCTGATGTGTCCTATATTTCAAGTATGATCACTTAGTAACGTTTGGCAAATTCTGGCTTAGGATATCCTATGCTACAAGTACGCTATACCTAATGCATAGACTTCTCAGTCAACGTATTAACTATAAACAAGGTAATGTATAACGAAGTTAGTGTCATTTATCATAAATAAAGAAGTTGACAATAAATAATTGAGAGAAGAGTTTTACTATTTTGATTTTATTTTTTTTTCGAAGACTTTCAGATATAAAAATATGTGTAGAAAAACAATATGTTCGAAATGTAAAAAACCAACATGGGCAGGTTGTATATATATATAATCATTTAGTTTTATATATTATTACATATTTTATTTACTTTATTTATAGGATGTGGTAAACATATCGAACAAGCACTGAAGAATGTACCTGCAAGTCAACGATGTAGATGTCCAAAATCTTCGATTTACGACCAATGCGTGATATTTTAAAAAAAAACAATGATACAGATATTTAGGATATTTATTATTAATTCTACGGAATATTTTTTTGTTAAAATTATTATTTTTTTTTGATTAAATAAAAGAAGATATTTGACTTAAGTTATAGCAAATATTTTATACATAACCTTCAATGACTTTAGGCTCCTCGAAACTATATACACAATTTATGAATACTGTTTAAAATTCGAATGACTTATTTTGTATTGCAATATGTTAATAGTCATACAATGTAGGATATACAAATGATGTCGTTTAAGTTTTAAATCAAAATTCTTCATCAATAACTCAACCATAAGGGAATTAGTTTTAAAATAGACAAAATATAGAATATGCATTGACAATGACAAGAATAAAACGATAACCGACTAGTGAATTAATGATCACAACTACTTCTTCATTCAGTTTTGTTACCATATAACACAATGTATATGTTTTCTTATTACTAAAACAAAACAAACAACAATATAAATTGTATTCATTGAACACGTTTTGTCATTGAAATTTTTCATTTTTTTATCCTTCAAAAAAGTAATTATACCATCGTAAGAAAGCAATGATGCATGTAAAATATATACTTATTCATTACACAAAAAAAAAGGTGGTAAAGATCAACATAAAAGATAATACAAGATATATCTTAACAAGTTGTATGGATGTTAAATAAAACGATCATTTCTGCATTACATTATTGGTAGAATTTGTTTATCGGATTCTTGATTATCAAAATGATTTTTTTTGTGGTCTATGCGAAATGTGTGTCAAGGACTAAACAAATTGTGAATAGTTATCGTCGATATCAAAAATGAATCTATCGATAAACAGACGATACATCCTCACTTACATCTTTATCATATGTCGAATAAAAAAAACATTTCAATGCTGTATTTTGTGCTTTTTTAAGTAATATCTGACAAATAGTAAAAACATGTTTACATATCAAACTAACAAAAAAACGTAATATTACTTTTTCTTTAATGAGCGAACAATGACGTTCGAATATATATATATTCCTAAACAAGATAGAATGCTATTGATTAAAAAAAGCTTTCATATCGATAATTTGTACCATTCACATCTATGTATTAAATGACATATAGTCAAATCATAATTACAGTATATGTCTAATGGCTTAGTTTATTGTTGTTAATATGTAACTATTATATTTAAAATGAGATGTGAAATAAAACAATTTCATGCTCGAAAAAAATGCTCTCATGGTGACTATGCTAGGTTCGCTTGCACTTAGAAGATTCACTGTGATTATGACTTTTGATGAGAGAAATTTAGTAAACAAACAACGATTAGAAGATCGACGTTTAGCAAATAAAGAACGTAATCAAAATTCGAATATTTCTCGTAAACGAAGATTACAAAATTTGAATCAATCATATCTTTAAAGATGGTCCTATTTTTCATAGTTCATTTCAACAAACTCAAGTGCACAATATTATAGTAGATCAATGTGGATTTATTTCTGTTCATATATATAAAACTAAGTTAAGTAATTCTCGTATTTTTGATGGTCATTTATCACCGAGTAATTTATTAAATACTGATGCTATTGAAAATACCCTATTGCCTAATGGTACAAATGCTCATGATATTCCTTTAATTCGAAATGGAAATGCTGATTAAAAGTATAAGACATAATAGTAGTTCGAATGATGAATTGAATTGTATGTTTGTTGGTAATTAATCTATAATGAAAAATATGAGTCAACAAGCAAATATCACACGTTATAGATCAATTTTCAATCAAGCATAGCACAATTACATGTCATTATTGATTGTAATCAGTAATGTTAATATTAATATCATCGAATAAAATAAAAATGATAAAATCTTTAATATATGGAGATTGTGACAGCAAGGTTATAATTCATATTCCAAAATAAAAACGACCGACATTAAAATAAATTTTCAGTTTTACATCGAATTACCTTGCGTCACATGTTCAATATTACGTTTTATGTATCTTGTATTTTTAATCGAAGACAAAAAATTTCTATTTTGATTCGAAAGAATGTGGATAGGAACTAAGTCTATTCTCTCCACTCTCGCTCATTCCCTTTTTAGTTCTTATGAACTAGAATTTATTTTATACTTTTAATGTGATTTCAAATCAATTTTTCATTCTATAAAAGTTTATAGCGATGATCATGTCTATCACATGACCTCTCACGAAGTTTGTAGGCCTAGCTTTTGAATGTACATATATCAGTTAGGTTTGAGAATTCTAATAATGATGAATCTTGATGCCAAGTGGATTTCTAGTCAATACAATAATCACGCGTAAGCAACGTCTTTTAATTATTCTGAGAAACATAATTATCGAAATTTGATATTTAGTAAAATAAATTTTATTCAAATAAGAGAAAGGAAAAGAAAAAATGAAATTATTGAGCAGCAATTTCTGATTCTGGCTCAAATACAAGTATTGTTTTTACAAGTATAGGTGGTGGAATTATAAAACAATGCCAAAAATCAAATTTAACAATAAATGTAACACATAAATCTCCTTGTGGACAACACCAACAACCAATGTAATTGCGACAATTTCTATTTGCCCAATCTTTGAAGTTTTGTATATTTGCTGTCATAAATTTATTGTAACTTGTCCAGCAATTAGTTGGTGGTTTAATAATCAAATCATATGACACCTACTCTACAGCAGTATATTGATGTTTATCTGTTTGTTTTACTTCAAGAACATTTTTATCACACTCAACTAATCCATTATATTGATCTTGAGTTAATTGAACTTGTCCTGTTTCAATATCACTTGCAGTTATACTAGTACCATTTATTGTGATAAAATATAACGTTGCAGTAATAGCCCATACAGGAACTAATATTTTGTACATATTCTTGTTTTTTTTAAACTTGATTTGTTTGTATTGATAAAATTACATTGAGTTTTATCGGTATTTATAGGTTAAATGAGATAATTTTATGCGTAAATAAGATTAATACAGGACACTAGCATCATGAGGGCGGGTGTGGATGTAGGTGTGAGTGGATTATGAGAAGATAGACATCTACACCCCGACACTTTTTTGTTTACTTCTTCGCTGCTGTTAAAATAAAAAAGAAGTCTATTGAAGCGTTTTTATATTATTGGAATGTTTGAAACGATGTTGATAGTTGTTGAGAATAGTACAAAGTTCTTCATTTGCAGATAGAAGATCGCTCACTGGTTGATCTATAGGTTCCTGTTGAATTGCTCTAGCATCGATTGTCATGTGCGCGACAATAATGAAGAAAAAAAGCAGAGAAAGATTTTGTCAAATCATCAACAAAAATTTGAAAAAGAAATGCAAGAAAAACCATAAGAAACACAAAACTTATCTATTCTCTCAAAGGACGTGATATATTTATAATCTCTATACCTCGTAGTTATGACACTTTATCTTTTCGTATAGAAGCAAGTTTGATATTTGAATATATGCATTCGGACGAGAACAGGCAATATATGTATATAAAGCCTTCACGTCATACATATCCACATACACAATTCGGTGACTTGAGCATTCTGCTTATATTGTATTTTTCTTCCAGTATTTATTTCTATCGACATCATCAGTTATTCATCTTTCTTTCTTCCACTATCCGATATCAAGTGATTATTGACTTTGTAATAACAGCGATGAAAATATGATTCACGTCATCATCCTTTACTTGCGCACACGTTTTTTTTAACTGCTTCTATTCGTTTTATAAAGAGTATTTCATAACAGATCATCGATTTTAAGACATGGAACAGTTGATCAGTAGATTTATTGACTATAATAAATAAACAAGAAGTATATACCATTATCTTTTATTAAAATAAGAACGATATGAATAAATTTTTCTTTTCTCATTAAAGATTTGTGTCTGATGCGTGTTTTTATCTTCACAACAAACAAGACGAATGCTGTTCACCTCGTCAGTCTCTTCAATACTAAAAAGATACCATACGTGATTTCTGCTGACATTACGCAACTTACCATTGATTATGATGTTATTATAGTTCCTGGTGGAATTGCAGCGCTTTACCAGAAGCATTTGGGTGAGAAGGGTATTGCATCTATTCGAGATTTTGTTGCCAATGGTGGTGGTTATTTGGGACTTTGTGCTGGCGCATATCTCGCTTCAACAAATGATATCACTGGTACAAAGAACATCGGGATTGGTCTCCTTCCTGTTCGATACTCTCTTTATGGAAGTAGTGCGAACATTCGAGCTAATGTAACACTGAATGATACGAAAACCAATGTGATTTTTACGACAACTTATCATAATGGTGCTGTCTACCAATTTGATCAGCTGTCAACGAACGTGACAGTATTAGCAACAATTACTGATACTGATAGTTCAAATTCTAAGTTTCATGAGTTTCTTGTCAATAAGGCTACTATCATTGCCGGTATGTTTGGTAAAGGACATGTTGTCCTGTGTGGACCGCATATCGAAGCTAACATGAAGTCCTATATGTTTTCTTTGATCATGAAGATTATTCGTCAGCCAGAAGCAACAATTTCAAAAGATTTAACTACACCACAAATGACAGAGATCGAATTCGACCTAGAAAAATGTCATATTCATACGCAAATTTAAATTTCTCAATTGCTTTATAGACAATAGAATTTGAAGGAGCGTCCTATCAAAGATCGTATGATTAATGATCAACAATTGAAGATATTCCATCAACTAATTTTTAACTTTTTCCATATTATTTATTATAGAAAATCGTTGTCTATTTTTCAAACAAATTACAATGAAATGTTTCTGTTTAGTTGCTTTCAAATATATCACTTTACACGATTCGTAAGCAAACCTAAAATGAATTCTACTTGATATCACCAACTAATCTCTAATACAGTTGCCTTATTAGCAGATTTAAATTATTCTATGGTAGCCCTTGACAAGACTAAAGCGTGTCGTTTCTTGATTGACACTTACTTCTTATATAGTTCGACTTATCGATGAAAGAATTTCAGTTATTCAGAAGTGATCGTGATTGATCAACGAAAAATGAGATGAATATATTCAATACATGTTTTAACAAAAGTGTTAAATCTGGCAATACAAATGAAATTTTATTTTTGTTCTTTTAAATGGATTGATAATAAGATCAGTTGTTAGACTGACTCTTCAACATAGATATCTAAATGTTGAATACAGGACTTGACCAATTCAGTAACACTATCGAGAAGAGTAGAAGTTGGATATTTACGTTGAGATAGTAGATAAAAAGCTTCAATAAATGCTGGAAATTGAAGACCTATATGAAAGAAATAATATCCAACCAAATGTAAATACAGACACTGATCAATATGAATATTTTCTAACTTACCAATTGCTGGAGATTGTGAGGAGAATTCTTTACATTTGTAGAAGATTTGAGTGTAAAGTATATCGATGGATGACATAATTGTTGATTGATCAATAATACCACATGCACTGTGTAAATAGAATGAAAGTCAGTTAAATGTATTTTTATTGTTAAACTTGTCTGGAACTACTGCTGATTTTAACTTTGCAAATGTTTAGTATTTTTCAAAACGAGAATCACGTACAATCGTATATTCTATGTCTGAGAGAAAAACTGACGTTTTTTTGAGGATGTGAGTGTATCATATCTGCGGTATCCACACCCACACCCTATGTGAAACATCTATCTCGAAGTTGAATTTATTGAGTTCGGTTAGCTTACCGATAATGAAACTTACATGGCAAAATTACGAAATGGTCTATTCGTCATTGCTTTAAATCCATGTTTGAACACTAATTCAATGTAGATAAAAGCAATTTTTTCCAGAAGAAACATATCTTCATATCTTATTTCAGATGTTGATGGAAAGATAACTTGAAAGGATTTCATTGAACTACCTATTTGATTTAACAACGGTTGAGTCATATTTTGATTGTTTGTTATAGCCATCGATTCATCTGGTATAGGCACATTTGAATTGTTGTCGAGCACAACTGGATTAAATGTTCCATTTGTTGTATCTTCATCAGAATGTTGTGAATCTTCTCCTGTGATGGTTGATTTTATAGATGTTCGTTTTTGAATCGTACTCATTGATTGAGTAGAATTATTTGAGTGTCGATCGGGTAGTTCGTCTAGAACGTCTTCCGAACTAGAATCTAATGAGTCAGAATCGGACTGACTCAACTGCCGATCATGGTGTATTTTCGCAGCAGTTTTATTGACTTTACTAGACTTTTTTGTATGGTGATGAGCAATGTTTTTGTCTCCTTGATTTTCAATTTCATCGTTTGATTTTGATCGATTGCCACGTTGCTTGTATTTCCTACGAAGAAGCAGTGAATTCCACCGCTTTATCCTTTCTTTTAATATTGTATGAATAATTTTACTTACATCACGAGTTTTAATGTTTCTAATACGAGTGGTTTCTTGATTTCTTCATCGATCAGACTTGGTTCGTGAACAAGTTTACCTAAAATAATATGAATATTAAACTATATGATATAGGTAATCATTTCTACCAGCTTCATTTGTATGATCATAGTCGATTCGTAACGAAGGATTAGCATTGACTTCCAGCAGCATCGGTTTAAGTTGATCAGTGAGAAGAATATCGAAACCAATAATCTATAAAATTCATCAAAATTTACAATTGCATTAGTTCTAGCCGTATTTTTAACAAGACTTTCATGGAATAAGGAATATGTCGGATAAAAGAAAATTAAGAAAAGAAAAATAGAGTTTTAATTGATCTTATCTAGCAGTAAGCAATTATTTGTTCAAACATTCTATCAGACATCTGAGACATTTGTTGTCGAATATTACGATACTTGTATCTGATGATGATGATAGTATTTTTTAATTGCACAGTCGTTGTTCAACGTATCTGTCTTACAGAGCGGCAAAATAAAAATAAACTAACACTAGTTTAATTAGTTCCTTGGGTTTGCTACTTCTCCTCTATAACAATTGCATCATTTCTGTTATTTATTACCTGAAAGCATCGATTTTGTTCTCGATTCATTGGCAACTCGGAGGCATATTGAATACGAAGTTCAGGTAAGATGGCTAAGACAGTCTTATTAATCATTTCTTTGATCATCTCTTTGGCTTGATCGATTTCATTTGGACTGAATAAATGACCCAACTGTGACCAGACAAGACTCATTTTTCGCTTGCTAGCATCAGTCTGTTTCTCATCTAAGGCATGCTTATAACTGGCACTGCGTTTGTTCAATGAATAATTAGTTAAATGCATAAATGTTTCATGAAGATTTTTAATTGATGGAGCTTGATAATCGATAGTAGCGAAGCGTGCTAACCCTTCCTCATAGAGCAGTATTTCCAATGGATCCAAATGAAAAATCAATACATAAATTCTCATATCGAACTTGAGACCATTGATTAGAAGTGGTCGATCAATATATTCTAGTAATGAATTGTACAGAAGAGTAATAAAGAAACTTTAGATGTTACCTTGAGCTATATATGGTCGATTAGCGACATTGCATCGTGTTGGATCTTGAATCAAATAAATACCAGCGCCTTCTGATCCATCTATAAAGAACAAATCGAAATCATTGACATTTCCTATCAAATTATTAAACAAACCTGATGGTTTAATAATAAAAGTTGTTAAAGGTCGATGTCGTTTACGATCTTTTTGATGTATCAAACGTGCATCATCTTGAAATTGTTGTCTTTGTTCAGGTAGAAACCATGTTTTCGGATAGAAATCAAATTCATCCGGAAATAACATTCGCATTGCGTTCAATGAACGTGTTAAATTACTTTTACATAATAGATCACTCATACCTGTACGTTATACAATTATTAGTCATGAAACTAGGATAGATCATTCCAAAACAATCTCTTACATAAATACACTAACTAGAACCTATTTCAATATCAAAACAGAAGTTCCAGACAATACTTTATACCAAAAAAAGACTTTGATATGTTAACTAATATTTATGTGAACTAATAAAAAAATCACTTTAAATGCCTATAACAGTTTCAGTAACGTCATACAAAAGTCTCTGTATTCAAATTCATGGGCGTCATTCTTAACGATTGCCTGTTAGAAACTCTGACTCGTAAAATGTGCACAAAATAGAAGAAAATTCATATTAAAAGGTTCTCTCTACGTCGAAAATGATCGATTAATAAAAATCATTCATAATATCTTACCTGGAAATTTATTTACTCTAGCTGAAGTGGAAGCATAATTTCTATTTCCTTCATGAAATGTTGCCGAATGCCAGTAGATATCCGAATCAGTAGAAGAACCAGAAACACACTAAAATATACAAATATTGAGCGCGTAGGAACGATCAAAGTAACTTACTTCTCTCCAGCCGAGATCTTGTAAGCACATTCGAAGGACTTCAATATTTGATCGAGCCTGACTAGTATCGACCTTAGGCATACGTTTGCGTGATTTTTTATTACCTTGTTTTATCGAAGTCGACGCAGGCGTCTTTGATGTCATTTTTGAGAAGTTTATATTTGAAAATAATCTGAAAAAAATTCAAATTCGAATCCTTTCTTAAATGTAGATCTTTTTATGATTCCAAGAAAGCATTCTTGAGCTGTTAGTAATTTATAAAAACTCAAAATTTTATAAAGCTAGCATGAAATTTTAACAGAGTCGTATTACCTGTATTCGTTTGTTAATTAGATATTTTAGAGTCAATTTGAAATATTAGGAATAATAATCGAAAGTAGATGAAACTTACTTTGCAAGTTTAGTGAGCTACTATACAAAAGAAAAGAATATATTGGTATTTTGAAGATTACTCTAAAAAGATAAAGAGAAGTAAAAATAAATGGATGTTTATTAAATTCAACATTCATACCGATATCAATCTCGAAAATGGGCATCAATATTTTCTCTGATTTGTAAAAGGAACAATATTGACGTTGTTTTTTTTCTTGAAATTTTATCTTCTAACATGTATTATGGAAGGCACAGCATTTATATTACATCTCATATGAATATTATAAAAGAAGGATGTCGCTTTCAATCTCAAACAACGTCAACATTATCGATTAGAAAGAAAGAGAGAACAATGTGATTCAAACAATATTTCTATTTCTACGCTTGCTTTTCTATTTTTTGACGACAACAGTCATCATGATTATGTTGAAAAGAACGTGCATATAAATGTTCTACTAACAGTTCCATGGAAACTTACAGAAATAAAACAATCGTACGTCACACTTGAGCAATAGTCATCTCCAAATAGCAATATTTTCAGTAGATGTGAAACTCTCGTTGCGTATTGCGTCATCATGATTATGATAAACATCTTATTAATCATCTGATGACGTAGGTGTAGGTGTAAGAGTAGCTGATTCGCTTCATATGTATTGATTCACACATACACTTGTACTTTTGACAATTGTGTAGAAAAAACAATGAGATAGAACAGTTTTATTTTTATGTATGATTTGCAAGAAAAAGAATGTTTATTGAGAAATAAAAGATTTCGATGCATTGTGAAAAGGCGACATCAATCGGAAGAAGTATTCAATGAAGTTTCAAAAGTTTACATAGAATCGATATTTTATTTCAATCAATATTATACACAGACCGTAGTTGATTAAACAATTCAATGTTATGTTCAATAACATTTGTTTAGAGTAGGTGTAGATAAATATGGTAAAGATGTTTATTGATTATACTATAATAGAAATAGTTTATCTCGGATATTGTTAGTAACAATCAAATTGAAGAATGTAAGCTTTGAACATGTAGTATCTTCAATAATTTGTTCTCATTTCAGCAGGAGTATGGATTTTAGTTTAATTGTGTGAATAGATTCGAATAAACAGAGTTGCGCACCATCCTACTTTCATTCATACTCTCAAAATCGCCAATTACTCTTCACCACAGTAATAGTACGTTTCTGAACGTAGCATAATTCAAGACGTTCAATTGATCTGTACTATACAAGAGATGCATAATATTATACAAAGATATAAAAACTAATAAATTTACTGAGCTCTACCCAACCCATATGCTCCGAACTTGAAAGCGGCTTATAATTTGATGATCTTACATTGTAAGATACGTCTCAAAATAACATAATAAAAGCTTTCACAATAGCTGCAGTGTGCATTTAAATCTCAAAAAAATAGTTTATGTCATCGTGATGTGGAAAACGTCCTATAGCCATTCATACGCATTCTAATATACCATTTACAGATAGCACAAAGAAATTCTTTTTTAGATATGTTTTTTTGTTTGCTTTTGATCTATTTTTTCAAAATCTCGTAGAAGCCAAACAGACATTATAGAAATTTTCAAGCCGTATGCTTCAGTCGAACTGGTAGAATGATTAATTGTGTAGATATTTATATTTTTCAAAATAGTAATGTTAATACAATACTTCTACGTCATAGTTAGATAAATTTGTATTGTGACTCATGTATATTAGCTGATAAAATTTATTCTATAATTTTTCTTTCTAATAGCTATATTGTAACTAATATTTCTATTGATCATGCAAACAATAAATGTTTTCGTAATTTCAAATTTATTCACGTAGGAATAAGCAATGATTGATTATATCTTCTAGTTTAATGATATGCATTACTTACTAATAGCAAGTAAGCGATATCGGTAACAGTAAAGGAAATATGACACTTTTGATGTTAATATTAATACAATATATCTTTTCAATAGTCAAACACACTTGTAAATTCATACATCTTAACCTATGAAATTTGTTTGTCGTGTTTTTTTTTTCTATAATAAAGATCGAGAAGTTTCTTAGCACTCAATACAAATATGAACTTTGACAGATTAAAAACGCTCTACACATTTCTTTCAATTTTATACAGGTAAAGTCTAAATCATTTATATCTCCGATTCCATTAAATTTTCAAATGAATTGTATATCAACGTTTATTTCAGATATTTCCAATTTTGTGCTTGAGTTTTATATATTACCTTCCCTTGTCTATAGGTCTTCTAATATAAATTAACATGGAAAAACGAAAAAAATTAAGTAAACGCTTGAATATAATAAAACTTTTACTTGCTGCATTACCAACTGTTGCCTTCGGTGTTTTTACAATTGTTTTCACTTTACAACAAGATGCATCTGCTAAAGCAACACGAGAACAAGATCAACAACAAGCAGATGAAACTAATCGACGTCTCATCTTTAAAGAATATATTGATGATATGACAGATCTTCTTCTCAGTAAACGATATGATACGAATATCAATGAGTCTTTGTTACATATACGAGTACAAACACTAACTGTTCTGAGAAATCTTGATGGTGCTCGTAAATCCGATGTTATTCGTTTTCTTTATGAAAGTCATTTAATACATAGTAATCAACCAATAAAAGTTCACCTAAATGGATCAGATCTTACCGGTTTGAAATTTATAAAATCATCAGCAGAAAGTTGTGATCTTACGGATATTTATTTACCGGGAGTTTATGGTGAAAATATTCTTTTCGAAGGTTGTCTTCTGGATCGAGCAGTTTTCGATCATGCTGAGATGTGTGGCACAGTATTTCAATCATGCAGTTTGGTCAATTCTACTTTTCTTGAAACCAATTTAACTAAAGCACACTTTCAAGACAATCAACTTTTTGCAGCAAAATTCAATGGTGCTTTATTGTCTCATTCATCTATTAAAGGTGGTGTTTTGCAAGGAATGGATTTTACTAATGCAGATCTCTATCAAAGTGATATTGATCATGAAGTTTTTTATCCTTTGGCACATGGTGGTCTAATAGCAAATATTTTCATCAATGCTCGTCATCCCAACGGATCATTTTTTGCTATTGATACAAATGATTTGATTGTTGATGGTCAAGCACAGACAAAAGTTTGTTTCGCTGAAGTTCTTTTTGTTTCGTATATACTGTTATTTTTTATTTGTGTAGTGTAATCAAAGCAGAACATTGTCGTGGTTAAACGCGCTTAATGATAATCCAATAGAAATTATAAATCGAAGCCAGATTGATTTACAAGACACGTCCATAGTGGAAAGTGATTGTGTCTTTAGATTTGATCAAAATACGTTTGTTTATCAAGCGATTCTATTACAAAGTTTTTCTCTTTTGGTCGATCAAAAGCAAGCCTTGTTCAATTTTTCAGTATTGATTGGAACAAAAAATCCAACTGTCGAGGATGAAATATCGATCTCTATGCTTTTTCGTCAAGCAGAAGGTTCATTCGATTATAAACAACGAGTAATAAGTCAGTAATATTCAGACAAAATTTTCATTATTTGATTTCATTGTTCTGCTTATATTTAAGGATCATTCAAGAATATTTCATCATTTCAATTGTATTCCATTGTCGATGCAATTCCTCCAAAAACGGCATTTCTTTTAATAAGCTTGGGATGTAAGACAGTTGGTAGTAAAGATCAATGGTGCTTTTTTGATCAAGCAAAATTATTCGTATCGAAAAATACATCTTAAGTAGTTGAAAAAACCTCATAATGAGCATTATTTAATAATCTTGTGTGCCTTTCACATATAATATATTCTCAAAAATATACTTCTGCTAATATTTATTGAAAAAGTTGTGTGATTAAATCAATAAAACTAATATGAATATACACAAGTATATTCTTTCAAAAAATATTCTCCTATATTACATATATATATATATTAAGAATGTGGAAAAACGACGATAGTTTTGACTATTAACCGTACTCTGAAAAAATATGAACTACGAGTGTCGAGTAAAACGCAAAACCTTTAAAGATGGTTTTGTATTTTCAGCTATAGAATCAATTATAGTTCACTGCGAAAACTACTTCTGCACAAGCAAATATGCCTTACCTACAAAAAGAATATAATCGAATTTGTTCTCAAATTAGTTTTTCTCTTCCCGGAGGTCAGAACGAATTTGAAAATAGACGTTTATTCAATCAATCAGTTATCCAATACTTAACAAAGGAAATTGACTGGACAAATTATTTCCACTTAGTCGTGATCAATTTGGTATATATATATATATATCACTTCCGTCGCCAGGAAGTTAATTGAACTATTGATTCGAAAAATGAGACAAATTTAAAAGTATTAATAGAATTAAAAAAGAACTCGACTTTTTAAATTCTTATTGGTTCAGTGCGTAAATTTCACGATATTATTTTTATTTTTTCTCAATTCTATAATATATTTAGAAAAAAAGACCATAGTAAACGCAGCGGTTCGTGATCCGGCGGCTACCACCCTCTGGCAATTATTTTTTTCCCAGTAAAAATATATTATACTACTTCGGATATCCCTCAGACACCGATTTTGCACCATGATTGCTGTCTCCTCACTGATTTTTGGGGTCTACCACTGAAAAGAATGTAATTATATTTTTTGTGTGAATTTATGATAAACGTCTTATTTATGATTTTTTTAAACAAATGATAGTTGATGAAGAAAATGTTTTTATTATTTTCAGATCACATTTTTTTGTTTCATTTATGTCAAAAAATTGAATTACGTAGTTATTTCACAGTTTATTTGAATATTCCATTTAGTAATCTAGTTTTGTTTTACATAATGCTGTTAATATCAAATTGCAAATTTCTCATGTCCTTAAAATCGCTAGAAAATTAGCGAAACGATAATTGTTCGATTGATATATTTAAATATGATTTTACTCTCGAATTCAGAATCTTTGGTTTTTAATTAAATGTTTCTACACGGACTGCACAATCCATGCGTCTTCATTTCGCTTAAGATTAATAATCTAAAGGATAAAAAATTATTTGTTTTAGTTTTAAATTAAAAGTAGAACTACACCCATATACTGATTGAAAAAGGAAACTTTAAATTTTACATTAACTAAAAGATACGACGAAAAACAATACTAAATGAAATCTTCGATCTAGAAAAACAGAAGCATTTAGAATCAAATCTCTATAATTAAGAGAATCGACTTCCAAATATGATCATTTTCTTATTTTTTTCTTTCTGTTTAAATATTTTCTTGAGGGTGAGTGTAGGTATGGATGTAGATTTTAACATAATTAATCTTTTCTATTTGATTTACCTCAATGAGTAGGTACACTATTATATTTTATCAGAGAATGATACATATTCTTACTGTTTTTTAGCTACCCGACACACATTTTATTTTTTCTGTCGTCTGGTCGTTTATTTTTTTCTCCGCACGCATCTTATTACATTCTACGAAAAACATAATTAATACTCTGCGCCTGCGCTTTCTCCTTGTTCTTGATTTTTTACTTCAATGCACATATTCTTATAGATCAGTCATATACCTTTTATATATTTTGTCGCGCTTGACACGGCAATATTAGTACTTTTCATTTGGTAGATAAAAATATATTTGCCGATTTTATTGATACAAATCGTATTTTGTTAGCTCGAAAACATATCAGTAAGTGAAAAATATTTATAGTATTTTTTATTCAGGTAAAACTTAAAAATAAGTTCGAGGATAAGATTTTATCAGCAAATAATTTCACTAGGGTCTACAAAATATTCTGAAAATTTAATTTGTTCCTACGAACTTTTGCTTTGAATAATAACAGATAACTACACTCTGTTTTTATTTATATATATAAACTTCGAATAAGTATCTATTTGAAGCAGTGGCGGATTTAGGGGGGGGAGGGCTATGGGGACAATCGCCCTCACCCTTCCGAATTTTTTTTTATTTTTTTACAGCAAAAATGAACGAAAAATAGGTTCACACTACTTCGGTTAGACTCAAAAAATAGCTTTTAACCAAAATCGCCCCCCACCCCTTCCCAGGTATCGCCCCTCCATACTAAAAAAAAACTGCTCCCCCCCTTTCAAAATTCTATATCCGCCACTAATTTGAAGTGATTACTTTTAGTCAAAATACAAAAGATTCATCTGTTTCAAAAGTAATACCTCTAAATATTAGTTACGAAGACTAATACATATAAATAAAAATTCAAACTAGACATACTTTTAAAACATCCTAATCTAAATTACATGTCTCGGTTTATATACGATCACTTATGATTGATCAATGACATTACACTCACCTATTATTTGTTATAATGTATGTCCTTTAAAACTACACAATGTCAAACATAGCTTATATCGTCTGTATACGACTTTATATTAATAGGAAGGGTTAACAATATGAAAAATAGTATTTTCATTTTTGTAGATATTACATTAACAACTGTATACAATGATTCTGCTTTGGGTTTTTATTGTCTTATTCATTTTTTATTTTCTTATGAAAAAATATTATTTTGCTCTTTTTCTTGAACCACTACCATGTTTACCACAACGATTTTTCTTAGGAAATATATTACATCTCAAAAATGAATCCTTATTCTCAACGTTGGCTACTTGTCAAAAACGTTTTGGTGATACATATGCTTCATATTTTGGTCCATCACGATTTGTTTGTATTAATAATGTTGAACATGTTCAAGAAATCTTCACGAAACGTCATATTTATGATCGAGATTCATTCATACGCAGTAATATTGATGTAGTTTTACCCAAATGTCTTCGTACTTTACTCGGAGATGAATGGCATTTACGAAAACGAATAGTTGTTGAACCTTTTCGTCAGACAGAACTGCCAAGATATCTTTCAAACCTAGTACATTTATGGGATTTGATTATTGAAAATTGGTGCATTGAAAAATATGTTACCGATGATTCTAATAAAATATCATCCACAACTAATGGGTATATGCTTGAACTTTTAATGGAAATCTTTATGGGTGATTCAACCATACCAGAAGTCTCATTTGCTGATTTTTGTGACGCTTTTTTAAGGTTTAATGGTTATGTTGACTTTATGTTTACAACATTTTTTCTTCCAACTATAGTAAAAAAATGGCGTGTGAAAATGACGAAAGACTATCGTGAAAGCGAGGCTCTTCTTCATTCATACGTAAAAAAATTAAGTGATAATGCTGTTATAACAGAAAAAAATCTAATAAATTCTTTTCTGGAAGCACACAAAAAGGAACATATGTCAGAAAATGATATTTTCTCTGATATTATCGATATATTAACAACAGCTTACACGACTACGAAAGGAAGCTCCGCATCTATTATTTATTATTTATCAACCAACCCACATATACAAACAAAGATTAAAGAAGAATTAACTACCATTGGAATTAATCGTGACACAACATTAACGATTGAGTTGGTCAATCGTTTAACTTATATCGAATGTGTATGTCAAGAAGTTATAAGACATTCTACTGAAATAACACCATTTGTTGCACGAACAGCATTGCAAGATGATATTATTGGTAATGATCATAATCGTATTAATATTCGAAAGGATGATCTACTTATTATTTGCACATATAATATTCATCATGATCCAAAACATTGGAAATTGGATCCTTATCAGTTTTTACCAGAACGATTTCTTGACGAAGATCCAGATCGTCATCGATATGCTTTTCTACCATTTGGTGGTGGTCATCGTGCATGTATAGCACAACAATTAGCTATGTTAGAAATGAAAGTGTTTATTATACGTCTGATGTTATTAGTTACTGTTCATCGAAGTAAAGATATTCCAACATCAGCGATCAATCCGGTGATTCGTCAAGAAGAGACACCAGATTTGACTGGTGTTTATCTAAAACCAACTGATGAAGAAATTTCTTAAAACTATTTTTATTTTATTTTTAGATATCTACTAATAAAAAGTATCAATTTTAACTCTTTCATAAACATTATATCTATTTTTTAAATAATGGCAAAGCAGATCGGATAGTATATGATACATAATACTATTAAATATTTTTGATTACATTCAAAGAAACTTTCATAAACGCACTTGATTGAAACTGTTGAATAAAGAGAATATTTATTGATTCGCTTTTACTCTCAACATCTAATTCGAAAATAAAAAAGATGAAATTACTAAGAGTATACTCAAAACGTTTTGTCACTTCACTATATCTATCAAATGAATCGATATTTCATCTATCTCTCTCCATCATATAAGCGAGATAGTTGTTGTGTTCATTTATCAAAAGTTTCATTCTTCTAACTCACTATTGAGATATTCTTTTGAAGTAAACAACAGGTATAAAACTGGTTTGCTTGGCTATCGATGGATCTCACTTGTTTTTATTAAACCAAGGTCATCATCAGAACTTAGGTCAACAAGGGGAAATTGGTCATTCCAACGATATCAGAAACAAAGATATATATGAACTTTTTATGACATCTGAGACTTTATTTATCATATGGTGAGAAATGTTTCAGTTCATAAATAAAAAAATTATCGAATAAAAAAGCATTGTCATAATCCAGTCTTACGAGTTTCGATCATGCGTTAACGTCATTATCTTCTTCAAAGTGAAAGGGATGATGTTAATGCTTCTTAAACATACCCAACTCAGAATAGAATCTACCTCGAATATATGGTGTAGAGAGATGAATAAAATTTCCTGATATTATAAAGAAAATATTTCTCGAACGAGATATTCATCTTAACGAAGAAAAATATATGAATAGTCTAGACAGACACTATGATGAAAAATTATTTCATTGGATCTATCATGTATCGAAAAATAAATAAATATAAATATTTATTAGAAAAAAACTTTTTTCACATAAACTAAGATCAATGCAAGTATTTATTTTTTAAAACCGGATATCTTTTTTCAGGAACATTTCCATCTATTATGACAATCCATGCTTTCTTGTTGTCATAAAAAAATGTTATTTTTTACTATGCTTCAACGAATAGACCAACATGATTAGATGAATAAATACGATTGTCAGTATTTGTTAAAGTTAAATATATGACATTACGTTTAAATAATATTTTAGTCTTGAATAATTAACGAAAAGTAAACAAAAACATATATCGAAAAAAATATTAGAATTAAAACGGTCTTGAAGTAAAAGTTATTATTTATTTTCATAATTTATCTTTATCAAAGAAAAAAATTAACACATCATTTTTCGCTAGTTTCAAAATCATATCGATCAGTCATCAAAATATGTCGCTTATATTTTTAACGTTTAAGTATGATGTCTATGTATCTATCTCATTCGTTAAGAGAGCATGTGAAAATATGTATACGATATTGATAATACTCATTGACATTTGAAATCAGACCTGAAACAGAATGTAACTCAAGAATGAAGAAATATTCAACTTATTACATATGTAATAATTGATTTTGAGGTTCGAATGACTAAGAATACAAGTATTATTCAAGGTTTTAAATTTAATAAGCTTTTTTGTTTTGTTTTTGTTGATGTGTATACTGAGAAAAATATAGATTGATTTCATTAGCTCATCAATTTCAATGATCATTATATGATTTGCATTTTTTTGTTTCTGTTACTTATTGAATCAATTGAAAAGAAAAAGAATTTGAAATTCATATCTAAGGTGTTTATTTATTCATTGCTAAAAACTGTAGAAGATTCATAAAAATATATTATAATAACGAAATTTGTAACTAATAGATTTGTTTGAAATTCATCGTAATACAGAGCAATGGTTTTTCTATATTAACTTAATACCAATTATATCCGTATGGTGAACCAAAGCCAGTTCCAAAAGTTGCTGGAGTTGTATAATTAGAAAAACCTGTAGCACCTAAACCACCATAATTTTGTGCAGCAAAACCATCATACATTGAACGACCATAACCACCGAAACCAAGATTTGCACCAAAACCACCAGTAGCTCCTAGATTTCCTGAAAAACAAAAAATATTATTATTATTATTTATAAATAAATACATCCAATTAGTCTTACCAAAATTAAAATATTGTTGTCCACCGTACATTGTAAATATTTATGTTGAGTAAAATTGAATAAGATGAGAATAAAAATGTGTGTGTCTAAGGGAATATAAGAACGGGTATTTATATGTTCATCATCCTGTTTTATCACTATATCTTTCCTAATGAATGACCCTAAGATGAATGACGAAAACGCTTCAATGCGTATCGGACATGATTCAAATATTCGATTATACATACGAAACAATCGTCTAAAAAATTGATGTATTGAGTGATAAGCACATTACTCTCATGTGTGAAGGGCGATCAACGCCTATTTAATGATATGCTACTAACAACACAACATAAAGAAGTTATTGCATCATCATATATATATTTGTACATATAGAAATAAAAAAGTTGATATTTGAATTATATTATTCATGGTTATTTGGATAAGATAGTTACGCTTGAGAAAATAGTGCATACAAATTGATTGAGTATATGTTCACAAGGAGAAAATCTATATATATGAAGGTCTGTCAACATAAATTTATTTATTCGAAAATACAAGGATTTTTTTGATAACAAATTTTCTAATTCATCATTTTTATTATAGACAAATTGAAGTCAATAGTATATTATTATTTAATAACAAACTGATTGCAATTTAATGAATATTCTTCTTTTTTTATTTAGTATACTGATTTAACAAAAGAAAAATTTATTTCAATAAGAATCGATTTACTTGACAATTTGTATTCTTTATCGGTTAATCAAATTATATGAAAATTTATTATTTGTTATTGAGAAATTTTCAAGTATGAATATTTTATCTATATCGAATATTTACATTTACATCTATACGCTTATTAGAATATTTATTGATCAATTCATACATCTATAATTGATTTAGATAAGATATCGATGTCTAGTAGTTATTTTTTTAGGTCAGATTTTGTTGTTGATCAAATGAAACAAAATGGTAACATAAATAAATTTTGAGTTTAATGGAAATTTTTTCGAATTCAACCAATTTCGACTGAATGTTTCAATCGGATCAGATGAATTTCAAGTAGCTATACAAAATCTTTTTTTTTTAATATTTTTTCAATGAAAAGTATTGAACTTTTATTTCATCCGCGAAGGAATGATACACTTTAATATGACTTCAAACATTCATAGTAGGGTTCTACGTATTGGAGCCTCTACAGAAACGTTTATCTCGTTTTATTTGTGCCGCTGATGATGATGTTTTTATTCATCAAGGAAAATATACAAACAAAAAGTTGGGTATTTATATAATGTCTCCTTCGATGGATAATATTTGTCAAAAATAAATTCAATTCTATATATGTATATAGCACAAAATTAAATATTATTTTTATAATTTCGAAATAGCTGATTTAACAATCAACAAGTTAACGGAGTACGATGCATTTATTTTACAAGCTGATGTACTATTCTTTTTTTTACTTCATCATTTCTGTTTTCCTATTTGGTTAACCAACTCCGGATTTCGATGATAGTTGCCAGTTAAATTATATTTCAAACACATTCTATAATTATGAATATCAATACAACAAAAACTCATTTAGTTCTTGTAGAGAGTTTTCTCTTTATATATGATCGATAATCTACACATATGCTACCACTCAATTATTAAGGATGCAGTTGTACATGGTCGTCTAAATATATTATTCCGTCTTGAGGTATGTTGTCTGGTTGTTATCCATTTGAAACTATTCTACAATCGACTATGTATCGATAGAAACGATAGTGAATGAATTGATGATCGAAGAACTCGTCAGTAATATATCATAGAAATTATATTTTGATGAATATACTCCACTGTTATGCAGCTATACATATGTGGAGAATAAGAATATCATTCAAGGAATAATAACTTTGATTGGGCTTTATGGTGGCCTTGTAATTATTTTTGTCGAATAATCTTTATATTTATTGTTAAACAATTTTTTCGCGTGACACAAAGAGTCAGTCCAACAACAGATTTATATGAAATCTACTATTTCAAAGAAAAAAACTCCATAATAACATTTCTTTTTTCTTCATGCTAAACTAATATGCTTTAATTTTATAAAGAATCCATTGATTGACAAAGTTATTTACTTTAATAACAATAAAATAATTCAAACAGATGATAATAAGTGCATGCACGAAATAGAACAACTGAATAATTATTGTTTCAAAACACAAAAATTACAAATCACTATTTTCTCCTTGAAAGTTAATAAGTTTTGTAAAAGTACAATAAAAACTCATAAAAAAATAAAATATGATATTAATTATGAAAGATATTTTGTGTCTATTTATACCACCATATTAATATTTACAGTATTCAATAAAAATTATCTTTACGATTAAAATAAAGAAGATCTTTATCTAATAGAATTTATAATTTGTGGGTGTGGGTATGTATATTCGTGTTCTATTCCATACTCACCGCTATCCAGTGAGTTCAAACATTCAAAGAATGACTTTGTTAAGGCATCTATAAAATTTGAGTTTAATCGAAACAGAATTCAACTTACAAGATAATGAGTAGATGTCAATGAATTATTTTTTACACTTGTGCTTTCAAAATATGATGAATTCATAAGGAATTATTCTGTCGATCTATGAATTAATTCACTAGTCTAATATAAGCAGAGAGTGACTGTAGCTGCAAAGAATTCGTATGTGTTGTTTTCAACGAGAATTGAGCAACTGTATCATATGCTATTTAAATATCATGGAAGTTATTTTATTTATATAAACTTTTATTTTCAATATCATACAATTTTGTTCAAGTACTTGGTAGTCTTGGAACTTTTAGACTGACGGTAAGTTCAAGTAAATACCTTATATTTTGGATAAGTGTTCCATTGCTTTTACTTGCTATATCAGTAGCTGTTCCTAAGTAGGTATAATGGTATCTATAGGGATATAGTGACAAACCTGCTTCATAATAATATGTAGCAGTTTCTGTATCATGTACTATAATTACATCGGTAACATTTACTAAACGAATAATATCGGTGGTACGTCGTTCACCTGGTTTATGATCAATCAAAATCATAGACCATCGAGGATGATTAATATTAATAGTATCCCATTCAGACACATTATTAATGTGACGAAATTGATGCATCGATGATGACATGTTTGCTTCGAATTTTCTTAACCATTCACGATCAGTATCAGACGAGAGAAGATAACGATTTTGCTGTTTAACAGCTATTTCATGAAGAAGAAGTGTTGAATAATAACCACAACCCATTTCCAATATAGGTCCACCATGTCTACCTGTTAGTATACTAGCAGCAAGTAGAACAGGCTGATGAGATCCATAACCATTATCAAGTGGTATAGAAAGATAATGTTTAATGATACGTAACCAATGAGCACCAACATTATCGTTTGATGCATTGAAGTAGTTTCTGACATAGTCTTCAGATAATTGAGTATCGTTATTAACAGTTGTATCTGTAAACAATTCGATGAATTTTTTCTGAAGCACGATGTTTTTACCATATATATTGAAACTAACATAGCTGATCATTAATAGTAAGATAAAAGTTAAAACATAAACAGGTATGTTCATTGTTCTCATATTAAATCTATGTTTTATTACTGTCAATTGAAAATTTTCTGAAATAATAATAAAAAAATAGTATTCAATGAATAAAGATAACAAACAGGAAGGTTCGTTGACATTTTATAAATACTCCAGCTAAATCTAATTCTTCATATAGATACAATCGAGTTGATACAAATTTTGAATCGAGATGATCAAAGGTCATAAATCTATCATTTCTTAGTTATTATTTTCAATATGATATAAACATAGAAGTTAATATTCTCTACACTTCATTTTATTTTTTCATCACAACTAAATCATATCGAATATAGTATCGTATATTACTTATTTTAGATAGAAATATTAACGATACATTTCACACATATTCTAATGTAACCATATCAATGTGAATATATCAAAAGTAGATGAGTCTTGCAATGTGTGACGATTTTTGATCGAAGACGTGTTAAAATTGATAAAATTTTACTTTATTATTTTTTTTATTCTCAAGAGTTGTAGCGTTTTCATACAAAATATACATGATGTAAAAAATAAAGATAAAAAGATAAGGACATACGTACAACACTTTCAGCGGGAGGGTTACATCGTGATCTTTTATGTTCTATATGTCTATTGAGAAAATGAAGATTCTTTCACAAAAAATCGTATGCAACAACAAATTGAAGTGAATAACTTACCATCATCGTTTGTATAGATACACATGGAGGTACAACATATCTCGAAAGCACGTATATGATACATACGATATTCTTATATCGAAGAAAAAGAGAACGTTGAGTATAGTATAAAACAAAAAGTAAGTAGAAAATTACTATGAATGTTTCGACGAGCGGTCAATATCGATTATGATTGATAACATACAGATATGCATACGGGACATCATATTTATACGTATGTTTAATATGCGTGTCGCACTCCGTCTCATCCATAAAATACACATAATGTTCAAAAATATGATATATCATAATAAAAAAAACATTAATATCAATATAAAAGAACAGTACACAGAAATATTCATTGGATAAGCAAACCACGTATTTTTCCATTTTCTTATGGTAATATATCATGAAAAGACAAGAACATAAACACATTTCTCTTGAACTGACTTTAAAAAAATTGAATAGAAAACAACTCTTATCAAAATTTTCATAAAATTAACGATTTAACGAAAAATTATGTTATCTTTTTGACTTAAAAAAACATGTTTTCTAACGGTACTTCACGTATTTCATGTCCGCTAAACGCTGTTGACATCAAATAGTACGCGAAACTTGGTTAAAAATGTATATTTCGTTAAATCGTTAGTTTTTACATGGAAACTAAAAACAGTTTATATGCCCTAGCAAAGAAACAAAATTTTTCCAGATCTTATTGGATCGCCATTTGAATATTAGTAATGATAAATGAACGTTTCTAATTATAATCTATAGTTTCTGGTTCTTAAAATTAATCATATTTATATAATTTGTTTAACAAAGTATTTTTATCTTTGATTTTATGTATTTATTCATATAGTTTTCGAATTAAATCATTATAATACGCAAGGAGAAGAAACTGGTTTCAAAAGTTGTAATCAATTTGAATCGTTCGAAATTATTATTTTTGACTGTTAGCTATCAGCTGAAACTAGAGAAATCAATTGGCTCATTTCTGAATGTGAATTTTGTGTCTACATATTTTACATTTTTCTCAATGAATATTTTCGTACTTCATTATTGTATAAAAACAGTTATTTTATTTTTCCCATTATCAAAATTTCTATCAACAATTATATCGAACAATGTTCCTTGTCTCATTGCAGTGGTTATGTGTTTGGAAAATGAAAACTATGTAAATGTCAAAGTTCGTAAAAGAAATACAAAGAACGAAAAAAAAAACAAATTGTCGATAAACATTTTTTCTACAGTTCTGACTACATAGGTAATGATGAAGTAAATTGACGTCTTTTATAAATGAAAAAGTGCTGATATTTTTCATCATATGATTGAAAACCAGGCATTGTCATACCTAGGGTAATAATTGATTGTTTTTTTCTTCGTGCACCTATATGTGTGTTCAAGTTTGAAATGACTTTTATGCCAGATCAATTTTCGAAATTGAACAAGAATATAGTAGTTTGAATAATACATTTACATTCTTTCATTTTTTTTTGGTCGACGTAAAGTTCTCTATCGAATAATACATAAGACATTGAAAAAAAAACAATCGTGCTTTTCTTATTTTCATAATAAACGTATTCACAATGTGACATAAACAAAAGAAGAAAAAACACATGTCTTATCGAGCAAGGTTTCATTTTTTTTTGTATCTCTTATATTTCGATAAGACAAAGATATATCGTTTTTCTTTCTTTACGAAAATTGCCGATTCATATATAGGTTATTTTGTTAACGAAAACGATTAATTATATCTGATGATTAGACATATAAGAACAACAAATGACTTCTTTTTTTTGTTATTTGTTCGTTTAAATGTATAAAATAATATATTTTTATGCATTCTGTTCTTTTTTTTTATTATTTATCCAGTCATATTAATCGACATTAAAAACAAGCGAAAAATAATCCCAATGTCATCAATAAACAAAGAACAAATGGATGAAATTTTAAATAAATTAAAAATTGGTTCAATATTAACAAAACGAAAACGTACTGGTGACAAAGCTTCGTATCATTATTTTCTTCATAAAAATGAACATTTTGTATCATCTACTCGTGTTGAGAATGCTTTTACTAAAGCACCACGTTGTAAGTAATTATTCAATTCAAAAAATAAAATAAGATTTGTTTTTTCATCTAGATTATATTCATCAAATTGATGAAATACGAATGGGTTTAAATACACGAACATTTCATCGACTTCTTCGACATCAATATATCAAACCAGAAGATGTAATTAAATCATATTTATACAATTACATTAAAACATCATATTTAAAATTCTTTTTAGGATCAATATGCTTTCTCTATATTCTATAATAATTATCGACGGGAAGTTCATTTAATTGCAGAGGATACAGAGACCAGAGATAGATGGATACAAGGTTTACAATATTTAATGCAAGCACATGGACAAAAACGACAACGACATGTCATTGATGAAGCAAGGTAAGAGTAATAGAATATTTATTATGTAGCTATTTTGTTTAATTAGTTGGATTATGAATTATTTTTATCTGGCTGATAAAGATGGATCTGATACATTGACAAAAAAAGAATGTCGTCAATTACTTGTCAATTCGTTTAATGCTAAAGTATCTGACAAAGAATTTGAAACACTTTTTAAAGTATGTATTAAAATTGAAAAAGTATTATTTTTAATGAATGTTTTTTTCAGGAAGCGGATAAAAGTGGTGAAGGTTTATTAACATCTGATGAATTTATAGAATTCTTTCGATTATTTACTCGACGAAAAGATCTATATAGAATCATGAAAAAGTAAGAGAAAAAACATGATTTTTTTATCTATTATTTTCCTTTATAAAGATATGTGAAAAATGCTGAGAATCAATCGATGGATACAATAACTATGAGTGTTGATGAATTATTAAATTTTCTTCGAAATGTTCAAAATGTAAATTGATTAAATCTATAACGAAAGAACAATAGATATTAATTGACATTTTTTTTCTTTATTAAGCAAACAGTAATAGAACGTCCAGAAAAACAGTCGAGATTTGATTTTTCACTTCAATTAATTTCAACGTTGGAACAAGCACAAGATTTAATTAATGAATTTGAATCAAATATTGAATTAAAACAAAAAGGTCAACTTAGTCTTCTTGGTTTGTATTAAAATTGATTTACAAAACAAATTCCACATTTCAATTATATAGGTTTTAGAAATTTATTATTAGCTGATGATTTCGCTCTAATGAAACCATGGTGTTCTCGTTATATATATCAAGATATGACAAGGTATTTATTTATATAAAATAAAAATTTACCTTTAACTAAACTATTTTCTATTCATAGACCATTGAATAATTATTATATCAAGACATCACATAATACGTATGATTAACGAATATCTATAGAAAAAAAAATAAAAGTTAACGCTTATTCTTATTGAACAGAGTTGTTTTTGTTCTATGATACTAATATGCCTAATTTCTAGCTTGAAATTGGATAAGAATTGTCTATCTACTTATTACAGAAGATAGATATATAGTATTTTTGTTTTTATTTCAGTTATTTATTCAATAATCAATTAATGGGTGATAGTAATCCTGAAGCATACAATCGAGCATTTCAAACTGGATGTCGAGCAGTTGAAATTGATTGTTATGACGGTGATAATGGTCGACCAATTGTTAAACATGGTTTTACATTAGTTAAACCATGTTTATTTGAATCAATTATTCGTTTTATTGAACCAAATCTTTTTAAAACATCACCATATCCAGTTATACTGGATCTTGAAAATCATTGTTCCGTTGAACAACAACATGAAATGGCTCGAATTCTACAAGATATTCTTGGAGGTAAAACTATTAAATAAATTCGAATTTTTGCTTTTCTAAATGTGTTTTTTTTCGAAAAAAGATCGATTAGTTAGTGAATCTTTATTAACAAAAGAATCAACAAATCTTCCATCACCAGAAGATCTTAAATATAAAGTTCTTGTTCGAGTAAGAAAATGAAAAAAAATTAATAAATTTATTTTATTTGTATTATAGGGTGTTAAAATCCCATCACCAATAGATATGCCTCAAACAATAGAAACCAAAGACATCAATGGAATGGCAAACCTTACTGTTAATCCACCAAACAAATTATGTTTTTTTTGTTATTATTTTTTCATAATAAAATTTCTTTTTTTTTCTATTTTAGGTCGTCGAAAATGCATTAGCTAATCTAATTGTTTATTTTCAAAATGTCCCATATCGTGATTATGAATATGCAAAAGATAATCATTTATGTTATCATTCACCAAATGTTGCTGAAAAGAATTTCGATAAAGCAACAAAATCTGATCCTATGGGTGTTATTAGACAAACATTAAAAACTTCACTTCGTATGTATCCCGATGGTCTCAGACAGGATTCAAGTAATCCAGATCCAATTTATCCTTGGAATTTTGGTGTACAAATGGTTGCATTAAATTATCAAAATGATGATTCCGTTATGTCATTAGCTTATGGAAAATTTATGGATAATGGAAGATGTGGTTATGTACTTAAACCACCCTATTTAATTGATGTAGATAAAACATTATTTAATCCTTTAAATTATATTGTAAAACCAAAAACACATTCCGATCATATTATTGAATCACCTCAATGTGTAATAATAACAATTATTAGTGCACAATTTTTATCTCGAGCAAATGAAACAACAAGTGATATTCCTGATCCATATGTTATGATATCAACACATGGAATAGCATGTGATCAACAAACTCAAAAAACCAAAACTATAGAAAATAATGGATTTGATCCTGAATGGAATGAAACATTTCAATTTGATATTCATTTTCCGCAAATGTGTCTTGTACGTTTTGATGTTTACGATCATGATACATTTTCAAGAGATGATAGACTTGCTTATTTTTGTTTACCATTGACAACAATGCAATCAGGTTAAAATAGTTTTTTTTTCTTTTCTTTTCATATCGAATTAATCGAGATTTTATATTTTTAGGTTATCGTCATATTCATTTGAGAGCTAAAAATAATAATTTAACTTATTCAACATTATTTATACATGTACAATTTAAAGCTATTTAAGATTTAGACATATTTGAACTCTTTTGCATTACATGTTTTTTATACTAATGTATTAACATATTACACAAGTATATATAGATGAAAATAATAAAACTATCGATTATTTAATATAACTTTCTATACTTACATTCACGCTGTCTAAAAGATTTTATATTACTACAAAATTGTCTTGAAATTACAATAGAAAGGATTGACGCATGAAAAAGTTGTTATTTCTTAATAAAACCTTTTGAGCATGACAATAGTCACAATCAGGTAAGTATAGATTAACATGCGTGTGGAGCAGTGGAGGCTCAAGAGGCTTGAGCCTCACTTAGTTTTCAGCCCTTGAGGCTCAGTCTCAGTTATTTTCGGATTAAATATTACCTTTTATTATTAGAATTTGTTATGTTTGGCATCTAACATAATTAGATATATGTTCTGACATATCTATCGTATAATGCGGTTCACCTATTTTTTATATATTTTTATTTTCTTGATGACCGTTGTAGTTTTTACTGAATTACAATAAAAAGAAGACTTATGCTTTGCTTCATGTTTTAATAAAAGTTCAAAGTAGAAAAAAAATATTGTGAGCATCACTTAGGTTAATGACGTTCCGCCGCCCCTGGTGTAGAGTAAGATGATAGATGCATGACTGATGCACTATAGTAAAAATAAATCTTGAATCTTATATAAATGTTTAGTTTTTCAACATCCTAAACCCTTTTAGAATCTACTGAAATACTCCTATTCTCATGGAAAGAATAACAATCGGGCACCGGTTAATGTCGCACTTACGATGGAAATTGATATGGGAACGACCACCCATTATGTTAGAACTAGGGCTGCACCGGTTCTAAGTTCAACCAATTTCAATTTCAGTTGTTGAATTATAATTCATGTATCCATATTATTATTAAAATATTGGCTGTTGACAATTGAACTTAATCAGGCCTTATTCATAAAGTCTAACTAATCAACAAAAATATATTTATGATCAATATCGCTATATGTAATTGAGTTAATTCATTGACGATTATGAGTGTATTTCCTTACCAGGAGAAATATTGATAGTATGAGCGTGAATGCAATTGATTCGTTGTTATTCACGATGACAGATAATTAAAATACATCATATTCGTTTGAAACTAAGTATACACCGTTACTTTTATTTAATTAGAGTATGATATATTAGTCTAAACTAGCTTGTATATGTCGTAATATATACAACAAATATCTTCTGTTAACAACGATCGAGTCAGAAGGACTTGAAACTGATTATAAATTAATAAAGACTTAATGGTGATAAGGAAAAGGTTTTTGAGTATGTAACTCTAAACAAAATCGATCCGTATTACTTATTTACTGTTATCATGATATTTTAAATTAGCTTGATGATGTCTTTATTGATACGAATATATTTTTCAAAAAGAAAAGCTCAATGAAGTCCGAAATTGTAAAAAAGAGAGTGGATGAGTCAGTGTCAAGAAGAACACATCATTTTCATTGATAATTTTCACCCTCAATTTCTACTTAACTCATAATATATAATGTAAGAATTACTGCGAATGCTACACCAGCAACGAGTCCTCCTAGAAGTAGTCCATATATAAAAGATGCTGCATACCAATTTGAAGATCTTAATAAAAATCATTACCATTATCAATCAGAAAGAAGAAGAAAATGTCTTACCGAGATAAACTAGTATGCGCCGAGCTGTCGCAATTATGCGAATGTTGACTGTTATCAATGGGTTCTAAATTACTTTTATTAGGTGTTGCTTCCCACATACTAAACTGCTCATGTTCCATTATAGAATAATAATATGTTAACTGTACGGCAATGCTTTGAAAGAAGTAATTTTATATATAACACGGTAGAGAATTATTAATCATTACATTAACATTTTTATTGACATATATGGATTCATTCAATCAAGAACATATTTCTTTTCATTAATACAAAAGAATCTTCTTGTACATGCCACACAATAGGCAATCATTATAAGTATAGGCTCCAATAATTTATATGTACAAATAGTATTACACTTGTTCCGATTTTAAACCATGGTCGTCTTTTTTTGTAAAAGATAATTAGATCCTAGAAATCTTTCTAACATCAAGTGTATGCCTTCGGTATTTGCTCTTTAAAAAAGTTTGTTATTTTCGAGCAATGACATCTCACCTTCGAAGCGAATGCACTTATACGTCCTTTCTCCAATCAAATTTTTGATCGAACATCAAATTTAATTAATTTTAGCTATTTCAATTGACATAAAGAAAACCTATACACTATGATTATTCAATCCTCTTTCTTCCTTGTAAATTATCAAGTGATTTTCATTGTGCTTAGTGAACTTTCTTTTTGTCAAATTCTTTTCAACAACAATAATTTCATTTTTTTGTTATTTCTAACATGAAATCGTATCATAGATATACAATGTACACACAAACTTTGTTGTTATGTTATTGTAAATTAATAATTAATCTATATAATAGATGATCGTTTATTATATTTTAACTTAGAATGCAAATCAATATATTCATTAGTTCTGATTTCTAATTCGTTTTTTCTTAAATAAAAAAGAAAAAGTATTACATTCTATATATTATCAAAAAAAATAATATTTGTGAGATTGAAAGACTAAGTGAATACTTCCAGATGATAATTTACTAGCTATTATTCTTCATCTATAATTGAAATATTTCGATAAATGTCGAGCAATGCAATGGCTTCCAAATGAAACTGGAAAACCTCTTACGTGTGAGTGAGGGTGTGAGTATATAATAGAAACACAGCTAACCATAGTCCTATTCTAACTTACATTTATACTCACGCAAACCTACCCGCAGCTACACCCTCACCGATCTCCAGGGTATGTGACACTACTATAAACGAACAACACTTTCATAATAAAGTACGCTTCTACTTGGAATGGAAATAATCGTATATATTCCTTGCTTTCAGGAACAGGAATGACATGTTCTTAAAGTAATCAGAACAAACTGGAAACATATGTATTTTAATAATCAAGAAGATGAAAATGGGATGTTGATGTTTTGAAGATTAGGCATGACGTGCATTTCATGACATATTTTTATATTGTTTTATATTTGACAGATTGACATATATGAGATTAAGTAGATGGTATTTGTGTTTTATTTGATTACAAAATACGATGCGAAGCTCGACATCGCAATTACCATTTTAAGGTCTACATGAGTTTCTTAGAATTCACGATTATAATAGAAGCGAATGATATTAGTTTGATCTTTATATATTCATCTTGCATTTAAATGAGTATTTCCTACTATTCCATTGCTGGGGCAATCGTGCCCCAAAATGACAACTTTGAACGCCTGAGTCGAGAAAGGAAACAAGAAAGAAAACTTGCGAAGAAGTAGATAAAATATTTCTACCTCGCATCGCATTAAGAAAGAAAATAATAATAATTGAAGGATAAAAACTCCTAAAGAGCTACATAAATATTTTGCTTTTCATCGCATTAAATATTAATCCTTGTTCATCGTTAGTTGTGAGTGAAATAAATATAAAACGTTGTTTTTTTCTTATTCACAAACAAGAATCAAGCAATTTATTATCGCCTAAGGAAGCTGGTTGAAACTAATACAACTCTGTTGATGTACAAAATAGTTGAAAAGTATTATCTGATATAATTTCGTCGTTAAACTACTGTTTTATTCATTTGATTTACATTGAAAGATTTTTAATATATTAAATAATGTCTTTTGGAAATAATTCAGACAATAACAGTGAGTCTTCAAGTAGTTCGGAAGTGCCTATTCCACGTCCAGTTCGTTTTTGGTTGATGCTTTTATTCAATATTCCGTCAGTAGCCTGTAGCTTCTTACTTATAATCCATATTATAATGAATCGAAACCATCGATATGCATTACATAATCATACAATTCTTCTTCTATTAATCTGTAACTTGCCAGTTCAATTAATAGATATTAATTTTTATCTTATATTCTTTTATTACGGTTTTGTTCAACCATCACAACCAATCGTGTGTCTTCTTTGGTGGCTTGCTGACTTTGGTTTCTATGCTGGTGGACTCGTTCTCATGGCTTGGCTAGCAATCGAACGACATGTTTTCATATTTCACGATCGACTGCTTTTAAATCGAAGAGGACGTTTCCTTTTTCATTATCTCCCTCTGATTATTCTAGTCACATATCTTCTTGTCTTCTATCTGACTGTTATTTTTCTTTTACCTTGTGAAAATACCTATCTTTATACAGCTCTCGTATGTGGTCAGTCACCATGCTATGTATCTTATGGTATTCTTGGTTTATGGGAATTTACTGTACATATAATGATACCAATTGTTTTAGAGGGTATTGCTAGTATTGCTCTTCTTTTACGTGTTCAAATACAAAAACGACGACTTCGTCAATCTAATCAATGGCGTAGACAACGGCGAATGATTATTCAATTACTTTTGGTTACAACCTTAAATATTGGTATTAATTTTTCAAGTAGTGCACTATTTTGTGCACATTTATTTGGTTTATCAGCAGAATATGGAACAGAAGTTCAGCTTTATCTCTCTTTTCTTGATTACTTCGTTATTTTGCTATTTCCATTCATATGTTTAAGTCAATTTCCAGATTTACGCAAGACAATGAAAGAGAAATTATTGGGTGTAGTACGGAGACGACCACATCACACAGACACTGTTGCACATACAAGAAGAGATATACCAATGAATAGAGTGGCATAATCTAATACAATATATAATATATTTATATTTATATATTCCAGCAAAATTAATTATTTTATTTAACAATTCTGTTTATTTCATCATTTGCTTTTGTGTAGTCTTCTCTATATTGTAACCCTCTTCCCCTACGTATTTTTCCTGAGTGTTGTGCTTTAACGTGCTTGAATAAAATCATGTTCAACGCATTTTTATGTAGTTACTATTCTTTGTCAATAAACTAAATATGTCTAACAGCTACATTCTCTTAGAAAAAAAGAATAGAAAGAATAAAAGGATGAAAGCAAATGTTGTAGTAATGCACTGTAATAAGAAGATATAAATAGATGTTAGTGTTTGAAAGTCATATTTGTTAGAGTGTGGGTGTGGCTATTTTATTTCATCTACATCCACACTTTCAAGATAATCGAATCTCTTCAGAGACCAATAAAACGAATATTAAAATCGAAAGATTTTTGTAAACTTCACCCAACTTGTTTTCATCGATTATGTTCATAAAAAAAACTATTGAATATATGCTCGTCATCTTTATAATAGTCTCTCTATAAAATCTGATTATTCAAAATAAATTTACATCAAAGAAAAACAATATTCTTTTTTTGTTTTCGCCAAAAGTAAATTGGTTTAGTCAAATATTTTGTTAGTTTCATTGAAGTCTTCATTTTGGAAACAGTAGTTGAATATGCTTCTACGTTTTTGAGACAAAATGAGTTCAAATGATGATTATTTTCCGATAATAAAAATATTAAAATTGATATAAAATTCTCGTTAATTTTATCAATTGTGAGATATTGTAATCGAGGACATAATTTTATAATAAATTCCATTTCTTTCAGTGTTTCCACTGACTTAATAGTCAGATTTTTAATAATATTTGTATCTGAAATCAATTGACAATGTTCACTTTGTTCAATCATTTCTAAATTTATGTTAGAGAGTGATCGATCAAAGTATTGATATATGAATATTCGAAGGGGTGGGTGTGAGTATATAATGGAAACACAGTCAACCATAATCATATTCTAACTTGCACTTATACTCACCCACACCCACCCTCAACAATTAAAAAAAATATGGAACGCTTCACGATTATGCGTGTCATCCTTGCACAGGGGCCATGCTAATCTTCTCTGTATCGTTCCACTTTTCTTGTGTGCCCTTGGGCGATATATAATCGCCTTCATAATCTTATATATTGAATCAACACAAAGAGAAACAAAATGGTGAATGAATGTGAAACGAAAAAAGAACTTACGCAATCATCAGCACACGTTATTTCTCTTTTAGTAAACATCAAATTGAAGAATAATATTAGAAAGAAAGAGATGCTTTTGGGCACTAAATATTTTTCAATATTATATTATCAATGCTATCTTACTTTATGACAAATATTATAAAAATGAAGAGAAATACAGCACATTCATTTTATGAGATGCTCTGATGAGCATTGAACCCACAGCAATCTGCCATTAATTTACAAAGCGATGTCATTACGACATCATACCCCTTTTTTTCTTTATACTGGCTAAATGCAAATTTTTGATTTAACAACAAAAGAATGTGATTCGAAAATATTAGCCTGTTGTTTGATTTCATTACTGCTATGCTACTCTTCCCTAAAATTGGGAAAAACTTTCGATTAAACAATAAATTTGAATGGATAGAATAAATACTGAAATTTTCCAAGGTTTGTTTCAGAGAACATTTACAAAATGAAAGAGCTATACCTAAATTACATCTGATTGGTAGCATAAATTCGATCGAAGTTTTTGTTTTAATTTATAATTGAATCTTGTCAGTAAAGTAGGCAAATATGTGGTGAAATATCTTGTACAATTCGTAATAAAACTACATAAGATCGATACAAACAAAATAATATGTTCATATACGGTCAAAAAAGAAGAATGAGCGATTCGTACAGCAAATTTATTTCAATAGTAATAATACTGATGATTAAGATTTCGTATTTATACGACATTCAATTAATTGATCTTCTTTTCTTATGGGTCCTAGAATATCAAAATAAAATTATTTATAATATTGAATTGTTTTTACTTCATTTATTAACTGCTGAACTTGATTATAAATTTTTGAAATCTTAAAAACAAAGCAATTTTATCAAATCATCAAAAAAGATAATTAATAGAAGAACAGATGCTACATCATTCGATTTAAGTATAAGATTTGTTTCAGAAATCAGAAATATATCAAGTACATTACTCATTACAAATTTCGAAAAAATTATCTCGTCAAAGATACAATGCGAACTGTATTTATTTCATAACTTTATGTTAAAATATAACAAAATCTATTTTGATTTACATTTTACATATTGTAAGAGAGTTCCTTGAATAAATAATCGATGACTAATAAGTATAAATACAAAAATAGTACTAGTAAGATTCATTAAAAAGCCAAATGATCGATACTTTGGATAACCAAATGCAAAAGTAAATCGACCAATACCAAAAAGAATAGTAAAAGCAGGTAAAAGAGTTAATTCATTTGGTTGAATTATCGTGCAAAGCGTTAATGAAAGAATCAATTTAATAATTAATTGTTCAAGTGTATTTTGTAAAATACGTTGTCGTTGTTCAACTAAGATTTGTCCTTTTGGATCTAATGGATTAAGAGCAATAGTTGTTACACGTCGATGAATGACAGCAAATATGGAGAATAATAATGGAAAACAATCAATAAATAAAAGTTGAATAGTAAATATTAAACGATTTTCTAATGATAAAGTTTTTATATTATTATCAATTGTAATTGTCCATGGAAGTTGATCAAATAAAGCGAATGTTAATACAGAAGTAGTGATAATTATTGATAATATCATTAATGGAATGTTTTTACGTTGAGATTTACGAAGTTCAACTTTTTTTTTAGTTTCTGCTTCACTTGTCATTATTTATATTATTCGAAGGAAAACAATCGTTGAAATAATTGTAATACGTCGTATGTGTCTTTTATCTTTATTCTATTCGGTATACATATCATCCTGAGTCGACGATATAATATAAAATAAAAAGAACTTTAGCATCTGCGCTATAATTGGTTGCTAAGTTTTTGAAATGAACTAGGTATATGTTGTATATCGGAAGATATAGAAAAGTTTTTTCGATTGAACTATGTTTTTGATTTTACGTTAAAAAGTGACGAGTGTAAATAGATGGCGCTACATATAACTCTGATCAAAAGAGAGTAAAAATATAAAAGTTTTTAGAGAATACATAACTGGAATTGTGAATTTGATTATAATAGTAATCATTCATTTAGAATCACATCAGTACGTACATGCATATTCAATCAGATTCGATTTATACTAACTATACTAGAAAATCTAACTTACTCTTTTGACTTACTGTTGGATGAAAGTATGAGGTATAGATATACAATTAAATTTATCGTTCGTATATTCATTTCCTTGTTATGAATCTTTAATCTAAACTATAATTAAAATAGTAGAAGGAAAAACACAATAAAATTTAAAAGAGCTAGCGTATATGGAGCACATAAATTCGTATTGTTATCTAGTTCTTCTCATTATTTAACACAAATACTTGTCCAGCATGAGTAATGTTAATAGCTGTCGGTGTTGGAAAATAGAATGGTTCACCGTCCATTTGCGCTGTCATTGGACAGCAAAGTTCAATACGCAAACAATCACATTGAGCGACCCGATTGCCACGATAACCAATATGCAACGAAGCCATATGTGTAGTACTTAATGCGACAACTTCAATTTTTTTATCACCAAAATTTTGTTGTTCGAAGAAATCACATGAGACTGATGTCATCGATGAATTGGTCATGTCATTCGTATCATTATCGTTCGGAGTAACCATTAAATATGTTTCATGAATGTCAGTCGGTGATTTGGGCGAACTGCCTGTACTTGCGAATGTCGATCTTCCCCATGGATCTGTACCAGATGCATAACCCGGAATGTTAAGTACAATAAGCGTATGACTATCACGTATGAGATCAGTCAGATCATGGCCATTGTATGTTAAATGAATGTAGGGGCTAAGATTCCACGAATTTGCTCGAGTAAAATCTTCGAAATGTTTAAAACTTTCGTTTACATACATGAACCTATTTTTCCAGGGTGATGAAAATTTTGACGGATTATGTATACGTTCATGATGAAATGCTAAAGTAACAGCTGCATCTAAACCGAAACTCATGTAATTGATAAAGTGTGTGTTTGGTAATTGGTGGTAATTTTGATAAAAGTCTCGATTAGTTTCACGAACGAATGTTGGTAATTGTTTGGATAATGATTGAGATCTTTCACGAATATTAGATTCACTCTCGGGTTGTTTTTGTTCGGATATAGTCAACGTCGAGGCATTGAATTCTTCAAGCTTGACTTCCCAACGATCGAGTACAGTCGGTTGAGCATGAGGAATTTGTAAGAGTGTATGACAAAGATGTTTTGGATCATATTGTTCACCCCAACCTAATACACGTGAAAGATCATTGCCAGTACCTAGAGGACAAATGCCTACTGGTGGATTATCGCTTGATGGATAAGCATCAGCTAGACGACCAAGAACCCAACCGACTGTACCATCACCACCAAAAACACAAATACGAGTATTCGGTAACGAAGAATAGATTTCGAGAGCATGAGTAATCGTATCGTTGTTTTCTAGGAGAAATACTTGACGTGGATTAAGTTTTTGTAAGAGTTCTCGATAGATTTTTTCTCCAACTTGACCGCCAGAACGTTTATTTATGAAGATAATAACGGGTGTATAAGGAAAAGATTTCGATTCAGAACTATTATTGGTTAAATGCGAAGGTAACTGAGCTCGAAAACCAGCTGAAGATTCGGTAGAACGACTGAGCCAATGTGGTCGAACAATAATATCACTATCGAAAAAAAAATCAAAATATCGATATTAACTACTGATTCAAATGCAATTAATAGAAAAATTAGATTATTTTACTGAATTTTTGGATACACTTAGCAAATATAATAAATGGGTTTTGAACATAATTAAGTTTAGATAAATTTTTACGCAGATTTTAAGATTACTTATTCAAAGCCTACCGAAATGCTCCATAGTCACAGCATAGCTTGTCATTGTTAACAGCAACACGTGCCCAACATGATCGATGATAGACTTGTGAGCACCATAAACAAACCATACCATTCGAAGATTCAGAGGTTGTTGATCTGAAATTTCTCGGTATATAACTCAACATCGATTTAAATTGACCAGTGATATCTAAAGAAGATTTTGTCAATGATAGATCGCTTATACTACGAGACAGAGTCTTCTTCATTGATATCTGTTGACAATGCAAACACGGTTTTGGAAGTACAGGTACATGAGACCAAAAATGTTGATCATAGAGTGATGAATTATGTTCGTTAGTGGGAGGAAAATTTTTTAACATTGTGTTATCAACAAATGATGGACGACAATGTGGAAGAAAATGAGTTTTAGCCGTTTGTAATTCATTCAAATGATGTGAATGCACGACTAGAGCACATGTTTCACAACGTACAAGTGTTGATGGATCTATTAAGTTTGAATTAGTACAAGACATGTATACACATAAGTGAGCAATCGATGAATCATTCGCTGTAAGTGGAAACCAACAGTGAGATGTTGGAGAAGCATGATCACTCCAGTCAACTCCATATGTTATAGAAATGTTGTCACTAGGTTCAACCGATATCGGCAAGGAGTTTGATAGAACCGATTGAGAGGTACTGAAGAATAATGAAATATTCTACTGTGTTTCTCAAATGGTCATCGTAATACATACTTTATTTGATCTGCTTCTACTAATTGCTGAGACATGATTGATTGTACATCTTGTTTCAACTGTTCGTTATCATGATCATCTGTAGATTTATCTAGTAATTGATGAGAATCATGTTCTGACAAGTGATTAACAAGTTCTTGAGAGTTCTGGTCGATATTAGTTGATAGATGTGTTATCGTTGACGTGTCATTGTTATCATCAGATATTGAATGAAGTATTGATTTATCATTAGTAGACAAAGATGATATGTCAAATGGTAGTGGTGGTGAAATTGAAGCTGGTGGTTCTTCGACAGAGGTCGGTGAAGACGGCGTGCCCATGTAAAACAGTAAAAAATCTAAAATCGAAGCAGATACATAATATCCAAATTTTAATTGAAGCGTTCAGAAAACTCAGCAATCGTGTGGAGATGAGCAAAATTTTTGGAAGAAAATAAACCGTTTCAACTGCGGTAAAATCCCTGAAATACTCGAATAACTTACAATATCTTTCATTTATACATATTAAAATCCATGACTGAATTCTAAGTATTTTGTATTATATATAGTGTTCATTGTACATTCTAAAAATGAATAAGCAATTTGATAACGTAGTCTGTAGCAAACGTTTTTCTTCTTATTATTCGAGTACGATCAATGGTTTGTAATTGCGACATAAAGAGAAAAGAATACATCTATACGATTTAGCTTACCTAGATGAAAAAAAATATGTACAGATAATAAAAGACGAAAGTCTATAGCCAATATTTTTTCTTCATTTATTTTATATATAACGGCCGTTTGTTGATATTTTATAATGATGAGAAGAGAATGAAAGATAAATGTGCGGATTTTTCGAGCATAACGAATAAATGTACAATTACTCATATAATATTATTATTCGTTTTTTTTCTAGGTATAAAAGAATAAGATACCGATTTGTCATGATTTAGAATTACGAAAAAACTCACAATTTATTGAAATATGTTAATGAATTTGATGTAATAAGAAAAAAAGAATAGTTTGATGTGGAGCTTTTGAATAACGGAAGAAAATTCATTCATTTAATATATCATTCAAAAATAACTTGTATATCAATATGAAACGCGTTTAACCCTTTCGGGACCAACTTTTGTTTTTATCTTTTTAATGATCGGTATATCATTTTATAACTAGCTATCTTGATGACAACCTTAGGAAAAAAGAAAATTTTTTTTTGAAAAAGCTGGGATCCCCCCAGGGATGGTGGTACATATTTGTACCACCTACCCTGTGGGTTTTTCAAAGAAAAATTTTTTTCCCTGAGGTTAGATAGTTATAAAAAGATAAAAAAAAAGTTGGTCCCGAAAGGGTTAATGACAAAATATAGAAGCGGAAGACTTTTTTAGTGAAAAAAATTCGAAAAATAGTATAGAAAATATAGTATTGTAAAAATCGTTTGTTCTATATCAATTATAACTTATTTAAACAGATAATATCCGACTGGCTCATTGATTTTTTTACTCACAAGTCATATACAAGCAAAATTGCATTAAACACGTATAACCTATTGATCAAAATTGAGAATAACCTCTATAATATAGTGAGAATGAATGAGCACTATATGTGATTGAGATAGAAAAAAAGATCTTTTTATTATAGTAACTCATAATCTGTAGAATATTCAACAGATTTAACATTTCATTTTCATATATCGACCTATATCCACATAAATTTTATTATAAGTATTAAAGAATTCATTAATTTTAAATAAGACTTAGATTTTCCTTTCTGAAATACAAATACTAATAGAGTCTATCACAGAAAAGTTGAAAGTTTTATTATGCTATTTATAAAATCAACGTCGACCTTTGTAATATGTAAAAAATTCATCTCTTCTACGTCCACACATCCACACTGTTGCTTATACATTATATTCAAGCATATCTGCAATTATATTTTGTCTACCATTATTCTAGTACCGTGTTTTAAGATGAATATTAAATCTTTATTTCAAATACAATTATCTCTTCACATTATATGACATGAAATATAATCATTAAAGTTCTTAAAAAAGAACTACGAGGTATACTTTATATTATTTCAAGACAAATAATTCTCTGTATATCATCCTAAAGGTGTAACATGATTGGCGTTATTATTAAAACGTGCTGTTATTTCAGGTTTATGAATTGTATTAACATTTTTTGTTTGATTACAAAATGCACCGATTTCATTTCTTCGTCGTCGTCTACGAACCATTTTCTTTAAAGCAAGTTGAAATTCTTTTCGAAAACTATTTGATATTAAATTCATTAATGGAGATATGCTCACTTGAGTAAATTGACAAAATATCACAATAAAATATACAAACTGTTCAATTAATATTTGATTAGACGATTTTATATTTGAATTTGTAATTTGTGCATAAACGAGGTAAAGAGACGTTGGTAAGCGAAGAAAAATATATATACTTATTTGAAGTATGAGTAGAGGAATGAGACGATGTTCACGTGAGCGTACACGATTTATACGAACTCGTTTGATGTTTATTAATGTTTGAATTCCAAATCCTGTCATTAATGTTATTGGTATAATTGCATTTACAACACCATAATAAGCAATAAAACTAGCAGGACTACCTGAACGAATCGCACAACTAAGTCGTACACCATAAATAAGTTGAATTTCAGAAAAGAAAAATGCATGTAAATGAAATAGAATCCAAAAGAGAATAATTACTATTACGATAAATAATGCAAAACGTTTATTACTTCGTTGACGAATATTTATATTAGATGATGATACAAACATTCGATCCATCGAAGCTATAACAAGAAAATAGGATGGAATAGCTGAGAAAACATAACTCATATACATTCGAATACAACAAAGAAGATTTGATTTTATTGAAATATCCATTCCGTAACCACTAAATACAGTTGAAAGAACGGTAAAATCAATATAAATAAGATTTGTTATCATATATCCGATAAGACAAATAATACATGGATTATTTCTCATAGATTTTTGAAGAAATACAAAAAGACCGAGAATACAACCAAGATTACCAATACTAACACAAATGGGTAATCCAATACGAATCATTTGAAGCTGAACTTGACTTAGTAAACTAGCTGACATATTATTGTGTGTTGAATGAAGAAATAGAAATGAGAATAAATTGTCAATCTCTTCTTGTCTTTATTGTTGTAAATGATAGATCTTTCTATAAGTATCCTCTATCTTTTGCCTAGAAAATTCTAGATGTCATTTACATTCAACATTTTGGTGATAATAATTATTAAAAATAATAATTCTAAATCTATCAAAAACATTATTTTTCATTATTGCAACACTTTTAATTTAACTTACTAGTAGACAATTTATATCGATTAGTTTATGTCAGAATTGTCAGATACAGGCTCTTCCGAAATAAAATTATTATGAAACGAAGAATATATTTTTAACGACTAATAAATGATTGTTAGTTTCTCATTTTTGTGATTAATGATGCATTCAAGTGGATTATACAATGTAGAGATGAAAAACATTCTATTCATAATAAATTTAATGGACATTTAAAATAATGAACTAATGCTCTTATAAAATTAAAAAACAGACGCAATATATCGTTCAAATGCAATTCACCTTAGAGTTAGATTCATGCTTTATATTGATAGTTATTAAATAAGATAATGTTTCATTTCCGCACTAATAAAAATTGCGATGGCATTTTTAATGATACATTAAAAATTTTCTTTCATATCCTACGTGAGGGCCTCTATCTCTATTTTATGATTATTCTCTACATTACTCACATCTTTTTTTAATCGACATCATAGTACGTTTATCAATAGATCTGTCAAAAGAAAATAAGCACTCATCTAAAAATAAATTTGATGCATGCCTTAAGTAAAAAATTGTTTGATTATTTGATATAACATAGGCTCAAAATAAAACATTCAAACACAATTAATCATGAATGTACTTTAATAGAATTCAGTAAAATAGTTTTTAACTATAATTGTCATGTCTTGATATTTGTCAAGAAGAGAAAGATAGTGAAGATGAATAGATAAACATACGCACAGGAACAATCAGATATGTGTATATATACAGTGATGTGTTGGATTATTTCATAGAATCAAAGGGAAAAGAATATGAATATAGAGGAAAATTTCAATGACAAAAAGATGTGTCTATATGGAAAAAAATTCAGTAAAACTATCATAAATATTAATGTTAAGTAATCGAGCTTCGCTATTGAATGATATATAAGCGAACAAAATCGGAGCAGAGCATCTGCGCATGTTTTCTCGTCAAGCAGATCAGTCACAATGAATCATTTGACATGTGAGACAAATTGTACACTTACTTCGAATATTTTTTTCATAGTATTGGACGCACTCGTTTTCTATCCAGCAATTATATTTGCACATTATCTATTAAATTAATACGATGATTTTGAAGTCCACCAGACAAAGAGTCCTTACTTAGGATTCGATGATGTGAGCGTGAGTATAGTATTAAAAAACAAGACGTTTATAATAAACCTCAGTGATTAATTGATCTATCTAACAACGCATTCGTTAATGTATGACTATAAAGTATCGGTATATGTGTTTTGATAAAAAAATGTGCGTCACCCAATCTTATCAACAAACATTAATTATACGTAATTTATACAGGAAAAAAACAAACGCATAGCCACGAGGCAGAACACATGAATATAAAGGTATAAACATGATTTTTACTTTTATATTAAATATTATTTGATTGTACATCGATCTATTTGACTAATACAGTACATATTCAATGTCTTATTTCGAAAGTATAGCAGCTTCGACATTCCTTCCAATGGAAACGGTATCAGTAGCAATGACAGCTGCTCCAAAATCGTTACCTATCTTAAGTACAATTTTTAAACTTTCCACTGATATACGTGAAACAAGTGAACGAGTTGAAACAAACAAATCACAATGTGAACAATTGAGTGAACGTATTGATACATTGATTGGATTTTTGGCAGAAAGAGATTTATCTCGTTGTTTAAATGAAGCAATGCATATCGCACTTAATCGTTTCGAAGCATTTCTACGTCGATGTCTCGAATATATTAGTACATTTCTTGAAACAGGCTGGTTTAAACGTATTGTTAATAACAAAGATTTCGAGAAAAAATTTCAAGATTTAAATCGTGAACTAACTCAATATTCGAACGATCTTAATTTTGGTATTGGATTAAATAACATGCAGAGCACTAAGAAGCAAGAAGAAAACCACTATACTGACAACTACTCGCCAGATGCTTCTCAAAATCCTGCCACTATGGATGAGTCTCACGAATATGAAAATGACTTTATAGAGAAGAAAACAGCAGAGATAGCCGATGATGATGAACATAGTGGGATTGCAGCTCGACAAGTTCCACCTTCTGGAAAAAATATTCCTTTTGTAGTGAGTAATATTTTGTTCATTGAAATGTTTATCATTCTCTATTTGCAGAATACCGCAAGATCGGCCGGAAACATTGAACAAGCCCAACAGAGCGTTTTTATTTCTGGTCTATGGAATTATGCGTATAACCAATATAATCTAGCCTATGGACCCTTTCCACATCAACTTGTTTTTAATTCAACAACAAGAAAACTACATGGTTATGGTGAAGATAATGTTGGTCAATATATATTGAACGGAACATTCTCAGAGGAAAATCGACAAATGGAGATGACACAAAGTTATCAGGTAGATTTATTATTATAGATCACATACTTTATTTAAGTCATCTATGAATTTTTTTCATGTTTAGTATGGCACAGGAAATCCGACTCTAAATTTGGGTCATCAAGATAAGATGCAACTTAATTGGAATGCACAAAGAAAAATATTCGAAGGCGTCGCTTATTCAAACGTTCAAGGTTCTTATATACCAAGCGCATTGATCGAAATGTGGCATGTTTAAAGAAGACATACTGATTCTATTTTTGAGAGTTGTTGTCACCTGCATTTCGACAATAAAAGATTTTGATTTTGAGATTAATTTATATATAATTAATTGCCTTAAAATTGTGGACAATGAGCGATTGTAAGAATTAATATATTAATTGATTCTAGCAAGTAACACTTCTTTAACGAAAGACAACGAAATATTTTATAATACTGATTTAAAAACATATTTAGATTTCTATTTCTGTTTTTCTAGTTTTTTCATAATTCTTTATTTATTTGTTTGATGGTATTTAGAGTAAAACTATTAACCAATACAGAAAAGCGACGAATATTTTATTTATGTATACTGATTGTCAAATGCGACCTCTATATCCAGAATAATGTTTTTCTTTCAAAAACGCAATCATATATCCTATGGGAGACAAGACTTATCCTATCCCATCTCATGGGATATTCCATCCCATGCGGAGCCGTGATACACAAGTATATATATACATTTGTTTTAAATAGTGTAAAAAAAACAATACTGATATAAGATGCAAAGATTTCTTTTTTTCTTAATAATTATTAATCTATGTCAACATTTGACGGCATCAGGTAAATTTTATTACCATTAATTAACTTATATTAATTTTGTTTATGTAAAAGAGCGACGTTGTCGATGTTTATCGAATAATTCATCTTGTTGGCCAAATGCTTCTGTATGGCAAACTTTTAATGAATCAATCAATGGACAACTTATTTTTCCTAAACCATCAGCTGCTGTTTGTAATTCTAATCCACCAAACGTTAATGCATGTATTACAGTAACTGAAAAGTGGCCGAATTCTTTCTGGCGTAGTGAACAAGCAGGAGCAATGCAAAGTGCTCATTGGGAAAATAGTTCATGTTCTATTTTTTTTAATAGTACAACATGTAATCAAGGATCGGTACCTATTTTAGCAGTAAATGCAACATTACCTGAACATGTTCAAGCAACTTTACAATTAGTGAATCGTTATAATCTACGACTTGTAATTAAAACTACAGGACATGATTTTTCAGGTCGATCAACAGCAAATGGTGCTTTACTTCTTTGGTTACATCATATGAAAAATTTCACTTTTATCAACAACACATTATCATGTACGGGAGAAAATATTTCCAATGCCATTCGTATTGGTGCCGGTATACAATGGGGTGAAGTATATAAATGGTTAGCTCAATATAATTTAGTTGCTATTGGTGGAGCTTCAAGTACTGTAGGAGCTAGTGGTGGATTTTTACAAGGAGGTGGTCATAGTCTATTGTCACGATGGAAAGGTTTTGCTGCTGATCAAGTTATTGAATATGATGTTATCATGGCTGATGGACGTCGTCAAACAGTCAATTCATGTCAAAATGTAGATCTATTTTGGGCATTACGAGGTGGTGGTGGTGGAACTTTTGCTGTTGTATTATCAGTTACCTTACGTACTTATCCTTCACCATCTATGATCAGTTGTATACATTTCTTGAAGCCACCAAATAACACTCGCTATGCCAGTTTTGTTCATCATTTTGTACAATTATTACCAACTTTAGCAGATTCTGGGTGGGCTGGTTACTTTTATTTAACTATGGAAACATTTACACTTGTATTTTTTCTACCCAATGGAAACAATGATATAGCAAATACAACAATAAATCAATTAATGAATAATTTTACTGATTTTAATTTTAAACAACCGGCTTATCATTCATATCCAACATTTATTAATTTTTTTGTTAAAATTCTGGAATCATCTAGTGCAACAGGTAATAATGTTATACTTGGTTCTCGTCTTATTCCTGAAACCATTATTCGTAATCAACCAAATCAAGTTGCTGATACATTCCTTCAAGTTAAGGATGGAAATGGATCGCTTCTTATCGGACATCTTGTTGCCGGTGGCAAAGCATCAGATACAACACAAAATAATAGTATTAATCCTGCATGGCGTACTGCTCTTCTTCATATGATCTATGCTCGTTCATGGAATGATGGTACATCAATTGAAGATCAAGAAAAACTTGCTAAACTCGTTACAGAAAAAGTTGAAATTCTTCAAACTATAGCCGGTGGTTCACAATCAGCATCATATATGAATGAAGCTGATCCGAATGAAAAAGATTGGCAACAGAAATTTTTTGGTTCACTAGAAATTTACAATCGACTAAAATCAATTAAAGATAATGTTGATCCAAATGGAATATTTCAATGCAGGCAATGTGTAGGTAGTGACGATTGGTCCATTGATTTAAATTGCCCAAAAATATCAAATGGAAATAAATGTTATTTAATTATACAACTGTTATTAATTGTGATGATTTTTTTGTTTAATTTTAAAATATAAATCGAATAAGAGATCAGATTAATCTTGCACATACACTTATCAATAGCAAATTTGTGCACGATATTTTTCAGAATTAAGTGCGTAAAGATTTCGATCAGAATCGAATGCTATATCAATTGGATTCGAAAGTTGATCAGATTGAGAATCTGGTTTGCACACACAATATATGATGTATGTATATGTCACTTTAGAGACGTTAATATAGTTTATTCGTTCATGTATTTATAGAAGAGAAATAACAAAGTGTAGTTTTTTAAATATTGTATACGAGCAGGATTATTTGTATGTACATATAAAAGGAAAGAAAAAATTGATGATACAAAGAGTAGTTATTAATAGTAGTTAGTGTGTGACCAATAAATCCGTTAAGATATAGATGAAGATATGATAGCAAATTAATTGTCTTGGATGAAAGTTATTTGCTATTTTGTTTCTTATTGAATTTTTGTAGAGCTTGACATAACTTTTGTTCATCTGATGAAATAGTGTATCCTTCAGCTAATAGTTGTTGAGGTGAAGTGATGAAAGCTAATGCTAATCCAGCAGACATATGCCATTCAATATGACAATGAAATAACCAAGCACCAGGTTTATTTGCTACATATCGTATTTTTGCCCAACCCAATGCAGGTACACTAACTGTATCGCGTTGAATATAATTTCCAGCATATAAAAATTCTGCACTTGGATAATCCGATGTTGCAATAATCCAGAATTTATGACCATGTAAATGAAATGGATGTTCGCCAGTATCTGTATTGTTCAAATAGATATCGACAATAGCTTCATAAGGAACTAAATAGTGACCATATCCATCACTTTGAATTGTAGGTAGTGAACTTCCAGGTTCTATACGAGGTGATGGAATACCAAGATTATTAGATTTGGTTACCATTTGATAAAGTAACGGTGCATATTCGTCTGAAGTTATTCCTTGTGTTGGAGCAGGTGTCATAGACATGTAATTAGCATCTGAACTATATGTCACATTATTCAGATAGGCATAGTTTATTCCATTTGCACTAGTATAAAATGCGATGACAAGGCTTAAATAATAGGTTGCATTCGGAATTCCAGTAGTATTCTGGTAAAATGGTCGAGCAGCTAAAATATTAGTATCAATTGGAGTAACAGTATTTTGCAATGCTGGAGTTGTGCTACTGGCAGTATATGATGGTGTAGAATTAGTTCCATTGAACGACAAAATAGCGAGATATAATGGATTAAAAAAAGTTGGATATGGATAACGTTGTTGTTCATAAGGAGGAATATAGTTGAGAATATCAACAGGATACATTGATAGCATCGCTTGAAATCGTATATAAATCGCACTTGTTGATAAATTACCGGAAGCAGTATATTCTAAACTTAATTCACTTAAATCAATATAAAATGAAACACGTTGAGCTACGTTAATATTAAAACTATTGACAGTGTATGGTAAAGTATCTACTTGATCTAATTCAATGATATGCAATGGTAAACCATCGATCGAAACAGTATACATTGAGAATGCAGCAGTATTAATAATTCGAAATCGAATACGTGCTGAATTCGAAACTGAAATCGTTAAAGCTTCAGTAAATTTTCCGTTCACAACAATAGCATCTGGTGAAGGTTCATTACCATCTGTATTATTTGGATTCAAATACCATGGAAGTAATTGAGTATGAGCTTGTAGATTATACCAGTCGGCTACCATTAATACTTGTTCACTATCATATTTATCTTGATTTGGTTCATTTCGTTGATGAATTATTAATGGACCATACAATCCATCTGTATATCGCTCTAGAAGATGCCCGTGATACCAAGCTGTTCCCGCTGGTTCTGCTTTAAATTTGTAAATCATTTCATTCTTTGGAGGTATAGCACATTGAGTAATACCAACTGCTCCATCCATATCAGGAGTAGTCGTCTGATAAAGTCCATGCCAATGCATCGTTGTAGGAACATCAAGTTGATTAATTACTCGAATCACTAATATATCACCTTCATAAGCTTCAATGGGTGGGCCTGGAAATGAATAATTTGCCGAAATTATTGCTTTGTTCGATTTTCCATAGGGATATATTGTATCAATATATAATGTTAGATTAATTTCGACACCATTAGTTGTTGTATTCATTCCTAAATAGATAATTAGTTTAATATATTTCTCTAATCTATGTACATATTGATCGTTTAATATTTTCGATCATGTTATTCTAAATTACTCTATAAAAAGTTTCCTATACAACTATGAAGGTTTCTACCTATGTTTTATTTAATATAGAAAATTGATTGGTGTCGAAAAGTATCTTTTTCAAGCGTCAAATTCTGTCAATAATCAAGTTTCCTCAACAATAATACTTTAACCCTTTTATTCCACAAGAATATTTGATTAAATGCTCAAAATTATTCGTTCAATTCGTAACTACACTATTAACTGTTAACTAACCGCTTGTTGTAGCGATTTTACTAGTAGTTGATGTCGATGTTTGTGTTGTTGTTTGATATGAAAGATTGTTTTCTGTTGTCGTAATAGAATTGCTATTTTGTGATAATGCACCTTTGAAAATAATTATTAGTTCAATATAAACAAAGTGATCAGAAGAACATAATATACATACGAGATCGACGATGATTATTGACAGGATGAAAACGTTGAGATAATTTTTGGCTGTCATCGGAAGTAGGTGGATGATGATATTTCATATGATTGACATTTTCATGTAGTTGAGACTTCTTCTAAAAAGAATATAGGTTCATATTTATGTACTTAAAAACAAAATACTCACATTATTCATCGATTGATACTGTTGTATACCATCATTGTATGTATTCTGATCATCAGCCGCGTATTTTGTGTTCCAGCCAAGTGATTTAAGGATGATCCATCCTGAAGAACATATCACATAAATTTAAGTTGAGAAATCAAATAGTAAGATCAGTCACAGATTTATTCGCATGTGCACGTTACTCACACTATTGCTATTTTTGAATTGTTACGTATCAAATACAATTTAAATTCACTTCGCATCTTAGAGAAATTTCTTTTATTTATAAAGATAGTCAACGGTACATATTGCGGAAGTAACTGTTAAACAATAAAAATAAAACTCTTTCTCTTTCATTAACATAAAGAACTGTATACTGCATAGGTGCAAGCATATAGTCAGAGTAAAAAAAATGAGAAATAGTCATCTGTGTTATTATTATAGAGAAGCTAAAACTGTATTTCTTCACGATAAGAATAATGGTTTGATCATCTATTCTTATATAATAATAAAAAAAACAAATTAGGTCATATGCGATCAGATTTCTGGACTATTATATGTTTCATCTTACAGATGAAATCTCTTTTTTTCCATTTAATATCGAAGAATATACAGTATTAGAAGTAATTCTTCAGTTATTTGTACTAATCTATCTATGTAAAATTACTTTATTGATTCATGTTTTGTTTCCCAAGAAACTTTTATTTATCTATCGAATTTACCTTGATTGTCGGTAATGATATCGTTCTGCTGATGTGCCGTGTCACGGTTGATAAAAGCAATTGCAATACCAGTACCAATAAGAATTACTAACACAAAAACATACAATCGATTATTTTGCATTGCATTCAGAGTACTCTTCCACCATGGTCTAAAGATAATAGAATTAAGATATTATGTATAAATGATTTATCAAAATCTTTTATACTAACTGTGGCAGAATCGGATAAACTTGTTCTGGTATCTCTAATAATCTTTTTCCTGGATCACCATACATCTTCATATTTTCAATGTTTACTGATTGTTCGTTGTATCTTCTTAGAGATTTCAGTTCTATCGCAGCAAATCGTTCGTTTTTTTAATATACTAATGAAAATAACGAAACTAATATATTTCTTTTATTAATTCTTGTCAATAAACATGAAACAAAAAAGAAAAATAATGAGTTCTCTTGATAATTTACCTCCGATATGTTTTTGATAAAAATCTAGTGTAATGATTTATTCCTATGCTTCCCTCGTAATGTATATTCCGTAAGATGAAGAGCATAAACACAACTCGTACGCGGACAGCTGTATATAGACAAGAGCGAGGCGAGAGAGAGAAGTGAAAGAGACATGAACATAAAGATAGTACGCTCATCTCGAACCATGTTCAGAAGAGATACTGTAGATGGAGTTGGTCTACGACCTGACTCGAGAGACAGATCGTAACATCTAGCCTCAGGAATATTACTTTTCGAATAAAATATTCACTTACTGTTTAGAAAAAAAGGAACAAAAAATTTTCTTGATATTTTCATGATGCATTAAGAATTATTTATGGTAGTCGATATTTTTTCTTTTCCAGTATAATTACTGAAACAGCATGCTTTATACTGATTTATTTTATGTCTGATTGCATTTTTAAATAGTCGTGAAAAGCTATAATTAATATAAAATAATGGAAATTAGTTTATGTCACAGATATTATATTACAATGGTTTTGAATAAACTCTATAAACTGCAATTAGTTGAATAGGTTTTTTTTTTTTTGGAGTTAAAATTTTTTATGGATCTACATGATTTTCTATTTGAAATATACTGTTAATCAAATTAAAACTCCTAGAAGTTAAATTATTGAACATATAATGCGTTATCAATTAAGTTTAGCTTTAAAAAAAATCAAATACTGTGTGCTTATTTTGTCAAACGATTATACTTACGTCAACAAGTATGATCACATTCATATATATTTATTTTGTTATATTTGCGCTTCTCTTTACGTTTATATATAGTTTCATACATACGCCCTAGCGCAATTAAATACATTAGTTTATACCTATAAATACACATACGCATATTATAACTATATGCGTCAATTTATGACAAAGAATTTACGCATGTTTAATAAAATTACAAACATTTACTTCCAACATTGTACATGTCCGTGAATCATTTTTATATAGTATGAGCAAGTAAATTTGCTCATTCGATATTATGGAATACGATAAAACTTTATTCATATGTTATTTTAGATGTGATGTAAAATTATCTAAAAGTTTAGCTTTTTCAAAATATTAAAACTACAACAGAGACATATCTGACGATTTTTGATAACATAAGTATCACTTTAATATTTAATATATATGTATATTTATTTCGAATATTAAAAAGAACGACAATACTGTATTTTCGTTCTTCCTCTTAATATTCTAAAGAATGAGTCACATACTAATAAAAGTGCAGAGTTCAAGGACGAGTTCGAAATAGAAATAAATAATTATTTTAAATACGTTGAATCAATTTGTTCTTTTATATTTATATAATAGAATAACAATTTCAGAATGAAAATACAATACATTTATTATCCATTACAAGTTATTAAAGAGTCATAACGATTTATTTTTTTCATGTGTTATTTAATATTCTATTTCTCATTAAACATGATCGTATAAAATTGAAAATTATCGTATTTAGGATGAAATAAAAGAATTAATCAAATATTTGAAAAGAAAAATTATATCTCGATAAACGATCTATTTATGATGTTTGATATATTTCGGTTGTGTTTAAATAAATATTATCATTATTTCCACCGGTAACTAACACTTTACCATTTGGTAATAAGGATGCTGTATGACGAATTCGTGGAGTATTCATATTGTAAGTAATTGTCCAAGTTTTTGACGATGGGTCATACAATTCAGCACTATTTAAATAAACGATACCATTATGTCCACCAATTACTAATACTTTTCCATCAGCTAATATAGTTATTGTATGATATTCTCGTGCTGTATTCATATCATTAATTAATGTCCAAGTTCCTTTTGATGTATCATACAATTCAGCACTTTTCAATATATTTTCACCATCATTGCCACCACTAATTAATACATTTCCATCTAATAATACTGATGCTCGATGAGAATATCGTTCATGATTTATATTACCAGTCATTGTCCAATTTCCTGTTGATGGATCGTATAATTCAGCTGCATTTAAAATACTAGTTCCATCATATC